CATGTTTTGATGGTGTCCCGATCATGTTTTGATTGTGTCCCAGTCATGTGATGGTGTCCCGGTCGTGTTGTGACGGTGTCCCGGTCATGTTTTGATGGTGTCCCGATCATGTTTTGATTGTGACCCAATCATGTTGTGATGGTGTCCCGGTCCTGTTTTGACCGGTCCTGTTTTGACGGTGTCCCGATCATGTTTTGATTGTGACCCAGTCATGTTGTGATGGTGTCCCGGTCATGTTGTGATGGTGTCCCGGTCATGTTGTGATGGTGTCCCGGTCATGTTTTGATGTGAGCCGGTCATCACATTTTGATGGTGTCCCGGTCATGTGATGGTGTCCCGGTCATGTTGTGATGGTGTCCCGGTCATGTTTTGATGGTGTCCCAGTCATGTTGTGACGGTGTCTCGGTCATGTTTTGATGGTGCCCTGGTCATTTTGTGATGGTGTCCCGGTTATGTGATGATGGTCTCCAAGGAAGAGATGGTCGATGTGTTGAAAACAGCAGCTGTTTCCAGATTTTTCTTTTTGTCCCGGTTTGTATCTTGCTATTGGGGTCTCCAGCTGGGCTAATTTGCTTTAATTCAGCACGCTCGGTTGACAGGTTCTGCAGACAGAGAAGGGCATGCAATACTTCCAAGACAACCTGAAGAAAGAGCTGCTGGCTTAGCTGACACTTTCAGTCAACAAGAGTGTTGCTTGGAAGATGGTGACTTGTCCAGAGCTGAGAATATGGTGGAAGACTCTATCTGTCTGTCTAAATGACAATACAATACAAATATATACAATTATATATACACACATGGACACATGGTTCTCTTGTGTTCTCTTGTCTTTTCATTCCCGCTGGCCAAGGAGCTATCGCTTCAAGAACTCATGGCTCAAGGATGTGGCTTTATGCTCAGCACCTTCGTGCAAGCTGCACACGTTTAATTTCCCCTCAAAACAACAAACCCATCTATCATGTCTATGTGCTTATTGCAGAGCTACCGGATCTCTTTCTTAATGACATCGGTCAGTGAGCGACCTGGTCGTTCGCAGGTGACACAAGAAGACCTCTACAGCGATCGGACCTTCTTCTGCTCTGAGGCAGAACGGGTTTTGCTTAGCTGCCTTGCTCGATGTTTGCACAAGTCGAGTTCGATGCAATGACCAAACAGAGCATCAAGAAACAGATAGGTCGTTTACGATCTGCCGTCCAGTCATCCAAAGCTGGCCTGCAGACCCATATGATAGTCGAGTCTTGTCGCATCATGTAGGGAAGAGGGCTAGGCTTGAATAGGTTCTCCTTTGTACTTCTCAAGCACGCCAGCGATGAAAAGCACGATTTGGAAGGTCACAGGTTTCGTGTGCCTTGGCTCCTTCCCTTTGGAAAAAGCAGCTTGTTCAAACTGCGCCCTAGTTTGTGATCAGGGCCTTCGAGTGCTCAAGAAGAATCCGCTCGGGGAGCTCAGCTAGAATTTGTGGAAGCCTTTTTAGCTGCTACAGCTCTTCTGTTTGGTTCCCAGCAAACGCTCAGACGTTCAACATTCGCCTTTTTCATCCCAAGGCGCCGGCAGCCACGACCAATCTCGCCATTGAAGCCTCAGGTACCTGTGGGTGACAAGAACGTATGGCAGGGTTTGAACACCGTATGACCCAAGCCAATAAGAGAAATGAAGCTGGAACTTGGCACAAAGCCGCTGTACCAAAGAGCTTGCAGCAGGTGAAACGATATCAAACATGAGTTTCATGACAACAAAGATTGAAGGCTTGCACCAAGAAGAGATGATGTTCCTGGCAGGTTAGAAAGCTCTTCGACCACTACGGCATTTCTTGTCAGCCTCTTTACGTTGTGACTTCTAGTCTGTGACGTGAGAACTTCTTTCAACCATTATGAGCCGATGCTGTGTGAAAAGAGGACTTCCTTCAACCTTAAAATAACATCTGATGAAGATTCACTTGGTCTTAAAGACTGCCTTGAAAGTGTTGGAAACCGAGGTCCCCACATCACAGAGCCCACCTCCCTTCATTTGCAGGTGTCCGGTGCCTTGAGTTGTTGATGCAGAAACCCATGTAAGGAGCCACCCCAAAAACGGCCTTTTTCTTGGAGACAATGAATGTAGTATTAGTCTTGTTTGGTTGCATGGCATTGCCCTTTCCGGGATTCTGGTCTCGGCATCGCTTTGGTTTCTTTGTCTTCTCTTTGGAAGTCAGTCGGGAGTCTTTGGTCGTCGCTGCAAAGCTGAGGGCTTCCTATGCTGAGCTACTGCAGAAGTCGCAGGCCAATGAGCAGACGCCTTGTTTTGCAACAAGAGATTCTACCGGAAGGGGCACGAACCTTGAACTATTGAGGGGACCCTTCGATGGTGTGAATCTCGGTGTTAATCTCCGTGTCAACAGTTTCCTGCTAATGGATCCCTTAAGAGTTTTTCCTTTGCACACTCTTGTTACTGGGCTTTTCCGCAAATGTGCAAGTACGACCCCTTGTCTGCTGGAAGGTTTTCACTTTGACTCCTGAGTTCTGCATGTGTTTGATCTGTGGCAAGCTTCGTAGTCAATGCGACAAATGAGCCGCTTGTTGGAAGCCGCTGCCAGAAGCAAGCAAAGTTGCACAACCTGCCCTATCATCGTGGCAGAGGGGCCAAGAGAGGGGGCTTTGATCGATGTGCAGTCTTAGCTGCTTGTGATATACCAACCTTGCGACTTTGCCCAAATCACTGCCGCACTTGGAGCAGAAGCCACAAGTGAGTCATGACCGACGTGCTGTCCCATCACAAGACTGAGACGTGCTGTCGAAGCAGAAAGACTGAGGCCATGGACGAAGACTCGACATGGGATTAGGCCACTTCGACGCCCTGCGCATCATTCTGAGAAAACACCGCCGGACAGCCGTTGCGGGCTTACCCGGACTGTCCCATTCCTTGAGCGAAAAGCAATGAGCTCACTTTTTTCAAAGTAATGAAGCGACAGCCATTGTAAGCAATCAAAGCATCTACAGTTCTGTGTTCTGTGACCCAAGCATTTCCCTTGCTGGTAGAACCGATATCTTTTTTAGTATTTGATTATCCAGAAATAGTATATATTTCTTATTTCAATCACCATGTCATCCGATCCTTTGACATGCACACAAACTTTGAGTCTGACACTGTCTCTCTTACACCACCTGCGTGTCCCTGCTTTGCCAAGCCATAGCTTTCTTTCCGGCCTTAGTGACTGGAATGTCGGTTGAAGCGAAGCTTCAACGTAGGGCAAAGCCACAGAAGCGATAGCCAAAGCTCCACCATCGTCTTGTCTCCTTCTTTGGAATGGCTTTGCCGGGTGATCGGCTTCCATGGGCTTCTAAAGGAAGTGCACATGGATCCGCAAATAAAAAGTCAACATTGTGTGCGCGCAGTGAGGTTGAGCCTGGTCTTTAACGTCTTATGACTTACATGACCTTTAGGGCTTTTCTAGAGTACTCGAAGATTGACTTGTACATTGCTAGGTTTCTCCCTTTGGGGCCTTTGATACTATGTTTAACGTACGCAATTGGTGCAGGAAACGGCACTCCATCATTTCAGCCAAGGTTCCAAGACCCGGAGGTGCTCCCCTGCCTGGTGGAGGCCTTTCGCCAAGCAACCAACTTTCAGAAGGACTCTGTGACGCCCAGTGAAGCTGGTGACTTCGTACGCTTTTGCGTCCGGGTGCCGAGCAGCCGAGCAATGGTGCATGAAATCGAGCGGGCGTCCGAGCGTGAAGCGCGCACAATTCATGGTCTGAGATGAAAGCCCAAAGGAACATCTACGAACATTCCAGGGAAGCACATGAAACAAAGGTCACTTCTGAGCCGAAAGAAACGCACAGACAGAAAGCGACAAAAAGTGAGATCAAAAGGGACATGGGAGAACCAAGGCAAGGGGACATGAGCGGTAAAGGAGAGAAATACTGCAGAAGAGAGAGAGAGAGAGAGAGAGAGAGAGAAACAAATGAGGGGGGGATATGATGGAGGGAGGGAGGAGGGAGGAGGGAGGGAGGGAGGGAGGGAGGGAATGAGGGAAGGGAGAAGTCAGACAGAAGAGGGCGGTCTAGAATCGTCGTCAAAGCAGCAAGAGAATACTTTCAATTTTTGATCAATTTGAACAAGCTAGGCAGCTAGGCAGCTTTGTGGCAGCTCATGATTGTCCCAGGTCGCTTATCGCATTCATTGCTACTTCGAGACTAGCTTGTTGACGCCTGCCATCGTGAAGTTTGCCACCCAGAAAAAGCTTGAGCACTTATGTTTCATTTGCATGCATTTGCTCAGTGCTTAAGCCGGAGCACCATTGGCATCCATTGGCCATGTTGCTTGTGCTGCTTGCACTTCTCAAGAAAGGGCAGTGATGTTCAGGCCAGCCGTGGTTTTCGTCTTGGGAGGACCTGGTGCTGGTAAGGAGCCTCGAAACCTTGAGAATCTCTGAGGTATTGGAATTGACCTGTGCCTGGCTGTTGTAAAATAAGACTGCATGCCACGCTGCTTGAACCAAGTCATCCTCAGTTAACCGACCTTATATTGGCATGTCCGACAAGTCCATCAAGTCCCAGTCCTGGGAGGCCTCTCTTTGAATAAAGCAGTTCCTCTCGTCACTTCCCGTCACACTCCGTCACTTCGTCCTTGAGTTCGTTCACCCCGAGGCAAAGGAACGCAGTGTGAGCGCATCTCGCAGGCCAAGCGCATCTAGCTTGTGGGGTGAGAGCTTGAAATCCTCTGATGGAGAAAAAGCCACGGAACAATGGTACTCAGTTTTGTCTTTGAGCCGCCAGTGACTGGGGCACTGTGGGGTTTTCTTTATGCAGACGGCCCCCCACCGGATTTCAACCCGAAGGGGTGGAACTGGAAACTCTTTTTTCAAACACGTGCGACTGGAAGCAGCATGACCTGCGAAGCTAGGCCGCAAACACTTGACATTGCAAGCTAGGGCTATGATGCGCAGAGATTCTTATTCTGGACGTGAGAACTAATTCACAAGAATCTTATCGTGGTGACATTCTCATGAGGAACACGAGATCTTGCCATGGGGAGAGAGCGTCAACCTGCTTCTCGACAGATCTTTGTTTCTGTCAGACCTTTGGCTACCACCACCTCAGTGCTGGAGATCTTCTGCGTGAGGACAGTTCGGACAACTGCAGCTCGATTTGGGTACCTTTTTGTTGAAGATGTGTACCCCGAAGACTTTGAATCCCAGAGATTTTGACGATGTGATTCGTTCTGCTCGCAATGTTCCGGAACTCTGTATTTCCAAACAGCACCCTGATGATGAGTTTAAAGCTCAAATGGGTTCTGGTGGCAACTGGCAACGGCTTGAAACCCGGAACCGACCCTTTGCTCTTGGGGGACCTGTACTTGGGCGAAGCGCTACCACAATAGCTCCATAAGGAGTCAGGTGGAAGAAATAGAGGTTACTTAGGGGTGTCAAGTTTGGACTCTAGACTCTAGACATAGGTCCCAGTTGAACACCTCAAAATTGCTGATAGTCCCGAGTTCAAGATCGATCTTTGATAGGTGCGTTTCTTAAGCTCCCAGGAGTTAGCAGGCAATGGCTTTACTAAACACATACGTTGATGGTAGCCTTGCTACTTGTTTCCTGCCAGGAGCGCAAGCGTCAAGGCTCTGAGTATGGCCAGCTTATCGAGAGTTTCATCAAGGCCTGCATTGAAGGTTGACTCATTCCTATGGCCGTTTCGCAACTCTGGAATGGACCGCAGTTTCTTTCTCCAAATGCTTCAGTTGGGAAACAGCAACCTCCTGAGAGAGAGAGGGAGAGAGAGAGAGTGAGTGATGAGCAAACAACAAAGAAAAAGAGAGCTACATCTTGGCTAGTCAGCGAAGCGATAACAACACAGTACCAAGATGCTTGCAGGAAGGCAAACTGGTTCCTGTCGAGATTGTCGTGAACCTCTTAAAGCAAGCCATGGAGAAGCGTGGTTGGTCACAGGCACGGTTGGAGAAGCATGGCAATTTCACCTTCCTTGCAGTTCGAATGTGGGAGGTTCTTGAGCCTTGCTTGTGGTACTTAGAAGAAACCCCAGCACGTAGCGGGACGTTTGGCAAAACTGCCTATCCCGGCATGGCAAACCCGCCTGTGCACTGCGGGCTGTTGGGCCGTTTGGGTTCGCCAGGGGAAGTTCCTGGTTGATGGCTTTCCACGCAGCTTTGAAAACATGGAGGGTTGGAAAGAGGTCCTGGGAGGCGGGGAACGGGCCTACAGGGAGGCCACGTCTATAAATAGCTTCTTGTTCCTAGTAGCGATGGCCTCCACCCTAGTAGCGATGGCCTCCAACCTACTAGCTTCTTGTTACTAGTTTGCCTCACAGGCATGCCCAGTACCCATCAGTGCCAAGTGCATGTTGTATTTTTGCGTGCAGGCAAGGTGAATGTGAAGTTTGCCCTGTTCTTCGATTGCTCTGAGGCAGTCATGGAGGTGTGCACAAACACAGAGACACTCGCCAGTTGGATTGATACACGTTTGCAAAATAGTCTAGATAGTTGCTTGGAGCTGAAGTATGCATACAACAGACAGAGCTTTTTATCATTTGCAAGTCATCCCAGCAAATGCCACGCTGCTAGCGCTTTCTTTTGCAAAAAACCTTGAGTTGTCAAAGCACAACCATGTCGAACTCACGCCAGGCTAGAATCCTAGAACGTGGGAAAACCAGCGGCAGGCGTGGTTTGTGCCTCATGTCCATGGCTTCTCCCAACAGCTGTTCTGGATTTGCCAAAGATAGAACCCTTGACACCGCCCAAATGCAAGCATCAAGGCAGAACCAGAAACGCGTCTTCTTTCTCCTTGACCATGAAACACATTGTCTGCTTGGAGCGGCCAGGGCAGATGACAACTCTGAGGCCATTCGGAAGCGATTGGCAACATTCAAGGAGGAGAGTTCCTGGTGAAATCCTGGCCACCTGATGTTTAGTCGAATCGCTGAATCAAGAAGGTCCTTGAATAGACTTTTAAACAGGTCTCGTCATCCGATACAACATTTTAACTTAAACCGTCGATATTGTGCAGCGATTCTGGACATGGGGCTGAGTAGCTTTGATTTCTTGATTCAATCTAGGCTTTGATTTCTTGTTCCTCAATTTGTGTGGTCACATTCACCTGCAAATCTACGATTTAAACAAGCGAGAAACTGCCAAAAGGGTTGCTCATGTTGCTCTGCTCGGCTCAAGTGCAGCCCCTCCCACGTTTGGGTGCCCTTCGTAGTGGCCTGGAGCCTCAGCTTCCAGAGGCCTCCTTGCCCTTGGATGTTTCAGAAACAAGAAGCTACTAATAAAAAAGGGTGCATCGCTAATAGTAGCAAGAAGCTACTAGTAGCTCCTGGCACTACTACTAGCAACAAGAAGCTACTTACAAGGTGCATCACCGCTGGTAGCAAGAAGCTACTAGTAGCTCCTGGCATTACTACTAGTGACAAGAAGCTACTAGTAGCAAGGTGCATCTAGCCCCTGGCATTAATACGGGTCGCAAGAAGCCACTAGCAACAAGGTGCATCGCTACTAGTAGCAAGAAACTAGTAAAAGCTCCTGGCATTACTATTGGTAACAAGAAGCTACTAGTAACAAGGTGCAAGTGCATCGCTACTAGTAGCAAGAAGCTACTAGTAGCTCCTGGCATTACTACTAGTAACAAGAAGCTACTAGTAACAAGGTGCATCCCTACTAGTAGCAAGAAGCTACTAGTAGCTCCGGGCATTACTACTGGTAGCAAGAAGCTACTAGTAACAAGGTGCAAGTGCCTCGCTACTAGAAGCAAGAAGCTACTAGTAGCTCCTGGCATTACTTCTAGTAACAAAAAGCCACTAATAACAAGGTTCAGCTCCTGGCATTACTACTGGTAACAAGAAGCTACTAGTTACAAGGTGCATCGCTGTTAGTAGCAAGACGCTAGTAGTAGCTCCGGGCATTACTACTGGTAACAAGAAGCTACTAGTAACAAGGTGCATTGCTACTAGTAGCACGAAGCTACTAGTAGCTCCTGGCATCACTACTAGTTACTAGTAACAAGAAGCTACTAGTAACAAGGTGCATCAGACTACTTACAAGGTGCATCGCTACTAGTAGCAAGAAGCTACTAGTAGCTCCTGGCATTATGACTAGTAACAAGAAACTACTAGTAACAAGGGCATCGCTACTAGTAGCAAGAAGCTACTAGTAGCTCGGGGCACTACTACTAGTAACAAGAAGCTACTAGTAACAAGGTGCATCGCTACTAGTAGCAAGAAGCTACTAGTAGCTCCGGGCATTGCTACTGGTAACAAGAAGCTAGTAGTAACAAGGTGCAAGTGCATCGCTACTAGTAGCAAGAAGTTACAAGAAGCTACTAGTAGCTCCTGGCATTACTACTAGTAACAAGAAGCTACTAGTAACAAGGTGCATCGCTACTAGTAGCAAGAAGCTTCCAGTAGCTTCTGGTGTTACTACTAGTAACAAGGTGCATCGCTACTAGTAGCAAGAAGCTACTGGAACCTCCTGGCATTACATCTAGTAACAAGAAGCTACTACACACACCCACTCAGTAAAGAGGGATGTATGTCCTCGGGACCATCATTGGACCTATTGTAGCTCGTGGTCTTGCATGGACTTGCTGTGAGTTGGGTGTTGGACTTGCTGATTGGCCTGGAACTTGACTTGGTTCTGGAGCATTCTTTTGCTTCAAGTCTTTCTCAAAGACTGTTACGACCGTGACAAAACGCGGTCCTCGACACTCCTTGAGGTCACCTTGGCGTCTCCACTCGGCGAAATCGTCTTGTGGGACACTGGCGCCAATGGGTGGATGTTGCTGTTGCGCCAGCAAGGAGGACGATGAATTGCAGTGCTGCACACAGGTTTTGCAACTCCTCCAAATGAAAAAGGACTTGATGTGATTACTGGAATGGTCAAGTGTCTTCGGCACAGACTCTAAGATAGGTGGCGACCAATGACCAAGCGGACTTGTGGTCCACTGGTCCACCGAAGACTCTACATAGTAAACGTTCAAAGCTGCTCTCCTTTTTTCCACCTTTTACTCCTTTGACCGATTTGTCGTGTGCTGCCCAGTGACCCTGCGCGCTTTCCATTTTCACATGATAGGATGAAGAGAAGTCGCAGCAGAAGTTTGAAAAGGCTGGTTCAACAGTAAATATCGTAGGGCGTGGAACTGCTGAAGGCCAGCTGCCAACGAGCCATTGTGGCGTTTCGCCCTGGACCATTGGTGAGTGACCATCCAAGTTTGGGTTTCGTGCCTCTACATCCATCCCCAACTGACCCTCGAGTCCAAAGCTTTGATCGTCACTCCCATAGCTGTGTAGGGCTTTTGCTACTGCAGAGGTCATCATCATCCATATCAGTCCAGATTAGATTTTGCTACAAATCAGTGCTTGTACCCTGACTTGTGAATCATGTAGCGGAAGCTCGGCCAGGGCTCCAAGAAAGATGTCTCCGGCGGTCCTGTCAAGGACCGCCACTGTACTGACCTCTTCTGTCTCTTTGTCTTCATCTTGCACGCTGCCTAGCATGTCTCAAAGCCGATGCAACCCTCGGACTTGTGGCATTCTCCTTTTCCCAAGGCATTGGGGCGGCTTTGCCGCGATCATCTTTTCAGGCCTCAAGGACGGCGAGCCAGCAAAGCTGTACTTGCCGCAACGCGGTTGAAACCAGAACATCGTGTGAACTTTGTGGGATTTCCCGCGGTGTCTCGAGCACTTGCTGAGGCGTGATTTCAAGGGTGACTACTGCGATCTTGGGTCGCTGGACGGAGCAACAAAGCTCCTCAGGACACAGCAAGTTGTCAAGTTGTAAGACATCCACATGAGAAAGGCAAAACGCCTTGTCGGAGCATGCAAGGCAAAGCAACCATTTCACGAGATTTAAGCTTTGCGAAGTTCTGTCTGCTTGTCTCCTGGTTGAAGGAGTAGTTTATCCGTCAAACATTTGTTGCTTCCTGCCGGAATCAGTCAAGGACGCTCAATGTCTCAGCTACTGTGGACGAGGTCGCGAAGCAGTTGATCTGTTCCACAGCAGTCAGGGCCCCATGTTGTTTCGTGAAAAAGGCAAGCAGAGATTCATGTTTCGAGTCAGATTCCGACTAAGTAACCTGGGAATCGGGTTGTTGACAGCGGCCATATAGCTGGAGCAAGTCTCAGTTGGCCTGGCAAGGCTGAAAACGCCTTGGCTGCGATTCCTTTTACAACCGCTTCTTGGATACTGTACTTGTTGGTTTGATACAGCCTGTAAGTGTGAATGATCATGCGGATGTCATTGCCATTCATCAAGATCAACGGTCGTGGATACGACTGATGTGCAGCAACATGATCTTCATTTGTGGGCATTATTTGCAAGAAGCTACTAGTAACAAGGGCATCGCTACTAATAGCTCCTGGCATTACTAGTAACAAGAAGCTAATTACTAGTAGCAGCGTACAATCATTGTACGGGGTTTGCGAGCATCATTATACGATTGAAAAAATGTCTTCCGGGTGGGTCAGGAAGAAACTACTAGTCTTGATGAAGCTGTGTTGTTTCAATAAGACATGAGCTGTTATGCGGTTTTGTTTGCAGAGGCGCAGATGGAGGAGTATAGATGTGCCTGTTGCAAAGTGCCTTGTGCTGCCTGCGAAAGCAATTTTGCTTTAGAAGACTTGCAGGAGCGGGGTGGTCCCCGCATCCAATCCTGGTGAAAGATTTTCAAGACAATGAAAGAAGGACCAAAAGAAATGCATATAATTCTTACAAAAAACCAAAGCAACACCAGTGTCCTTATCACCTTGTCCGCAAAAAGAAAACACACATATTTACAGTAAACAAAGTTGAATTTCTTAGCCAGGACTCATCGACAGCTTCCAGCACGATCAGCGGCAGGACTTCCACAGACTTTGAAGCTAGAGATGTCAACAACGCCGGACTTTTTTACCCAAGGCATACTACAGATTCGTGTAGAAACACCTGATAGGTCGTGAAATCAGGTCCTTTTCTCCAGCGAGAAGTTCCTGTGTGTGGATGTTGTGAGGATGTCTGAGCTGACGGATCCCAGCAAAGCATCCTCACTGTTTTCCAGTGGGAGTGCCAACGCGATGTCCTTCAACCCTGAGAGTATCTTCGGAGCAGCTTGCCACAAATTTGGTGGTCCGGTTCGGCAGGTATCTTTCTTAATCTATCTTCGCTTGCTGTAGGTGTTTCTTATGGCACGCCCACTTTGTATTGATCATGAAGAGGGCCGCTTGCAAATCTACTCTACTGGGTTTCAGTTTTACTACCGGGATTGTCTCGTTCCTTTTTGTTGCTACGGTGACCCACTCGTATCCGTTACCTTGTTTTGAATGACATCTGAAAATGATCCGACTTAGTCCTGCAGCTCTCTTTGGATATTTTTTTGGTGGGACTTTTCCACCGCTGTTGTGGTGAAGCCAAGAAATGTCGTGCAAAAGCTATGCAGATATTTTTTGTGAAAAACACAAGAACCGGAGAGAACGGACCGATTTGCGGCCTTGCCCAGGAGATGACCAAGTTCATGGTGTCGGTGTGCCTGGCACAGACGTCTTGCGCACCCCCCACAGTGAACACAACGACAGCAGGAGACAGCAATGACGAGTCCTTGTGCTTCACCGGTGTGGGTGGTGTTTTTGTTTGGTGTCTTTAGACAGGAATCACTTCTTGACCCGAGACACAATGCGATTCTATGTGGAAGGCACTTGACTTCACTTCATTATGGTATGCATGTGCATATATATATATATAGTATACATATACATGCATTAAGGTGCATAGATTGTTCTTCTGCACATGGTGTTCTCCGAATTCTCATGTTCAAGCTCTTGTGCCAATACGAAACGATGGTTTGCCATCAGTCGTCAGGAGTGAGAAGCTATGTGTATACTCCCACTCCAACGGAGCCTTGGAAGTTTGCATGGGATGCGCTGGCCACCGGCAGCAATGTGCCACAGCAGTTCAAGGACTGTTTCAATCTTCATGCGAGAAACAGTGCTTTCTCCACTCGTGAGAGAAATGATACGATGCTATGAGAAACATTTGGCTCTTGGGTGATGCTGGGCCAAGCCAACGAGCCTCATTTTTCTGAGCTTTTCTTGTTTGTTGCAAGGATACCATCGCCAATGATTTTACCTTCATGGCCATGTCTGAGCAGGCCATGGCAAGAGCAACGCGAGACCCCGGGCTTCAGATAGAGTGCCATTTCATTATTCCGCAAGAGGCTGTGCACTGGTTTGAAAGACAAAGGGTTTCCTTCTTGGATTCAAGGCTGACATTTTTGTAGGGGCTGTTGTGGAAAACACCGGACTTCATGTCAAGCCTTTATCATCGACCCTGCGCCAGCTTTGCCCCTACCACGAACGCTATTGCATTCCCTTTCCCGGCGTTGCCTTTGCAGAGGCAGGGCTTCCGCACGTTTTCCGCGGCGCGGTGGGTGTGTCGGTGGGCTGCATGGTGCAGCCGAGCAGAAGGTGGGTGTGGAGCAATCGGCTCCAAAGCAGCTCGCCAGGCATCCTTGGGCCATTGCATCCCAAAGGTGGAGGCCAGCGTAGCTGCCCAGATGGGTGAAGCTATGGCTACTGCATTGCAAGGCGGAACCTGCACCAAGATTCCCAGCAAAGGAGACAATTGTATCGGTATCGTATTCTATTGGATTGTTAAGAGAGAGCACCAGAGTCAACTGGTGTAAGAACCATGGGTCAGACCTCAAGTGATTGAGTTTTAAAGACTAAAGCTGTTCAGGTGCTGCCGTCATCATGATTCGGCGCAAAAGATGGTCAGCAGAACTGTTTTGACGAGCCAAATAGCGGAACAAACGCGAACACAAAAAGTGCAAGAGGCTTCAGGCTTGGAGGACAACTTGCTTTGGCAGGGGCTGGCGAGCAGGCGCTAAGGTTGCTGGATGCCCAGGTCGATATCTCAGATTTCTTGCTGAGCAAATGCTACTAGTAGTAAGAATGCTACTAGTAGTAAGGCCAGGATCCCCTAGTAGCGTCCTTGCTCCTAGTAGTAAGGCTGGGAGCCCCTAATAGCTTTATTTGCTGAGCAAATGTTTGTGATGATGGTCCTTTGATTCAAGAATCAGGCGGTGGTCCACCTTAACGACCCATCGTTGTTAAATGTCCCAAAGCGATTGTTGCTGTTTATACTCTTCAAAAGTCGCTCCACAACTGAGTCTGGAGTTTTCGGAGAGTTGACGCCTGGCTGCATTCGTTCCTCGTACAGTCTAGGTTTGTCCAAAACTGCGGTCGTTCACAGGTCATGGAAGAGCATGAACAGTTTTGCTTTGGTGCAGACAGTTGGTGCGTAAGGTTTCAACACAGGTCTTTCATCATGTGGCCAAATTAGATGCTTTCTTGATGTTGCTGTGAATTTCAATCTGCCAAAATAGACCAAGAGAGGAAGCATTGCAGAATCCTCCAGGATTTGCATACCGTCGCTGGCAGGAAACGGTCCCAGGATAAATCTGAAACAACAGCAGCTAAGGATGTCTACTGTAGATGCCTTCTGCGTGCCTTTGTCTTTTAGCCGGAGGTAGTAAAGCCTCTCAAGATGTCATGATGTATATACGGCCAGAACTTTTTGCCTTTGTGAATTGATTTGCTACGGAGCATGAGCGTGTTATGTATTCCCGTTCCGTCCTCTATTTAAATAACCTCCACTTCATCAATGATTGGAAGTTTTTGAGGTCTGAACTAGTATTTTTCTTGTGTGAGACCTTTCGAGCCCACAGCCAGGTGGTATTCTTCTTTTCCTTTGTCATTGGCCTGGTCTTCTTGGTGGCCTTGCGCTTTCTAGTCGGCTGTGCTTGGACCTCACGTGGGAATGAGCAATTCGTTGGTTTCAACCGACCGGCCGACCGACTCATGCCCAACTGCAACTGTGTCGACCTTTGCCTATGTCCCAAAGTCCACAGCCAGATGTAGCCTGGAGAACAAATTGTTTGAAATACAATAGTGCAAATATCAAATAAACACAATCCAATATTGCTAGATTCTGATAGGCAATTGTCTTTTCGCCACTTTCCCCTCTGAGGTCGTTTGGGCCTCGGTCTTTCTAGTTACCTTTGCCTTTGCTCTTGGAGGTGGGACAGGGATCAGAGACGAATCGAAAAAGGATGTTGTTTGGCTTGCAGGAATGTTGTCATCTTTGTTTGGAAGGTTTCAAGTGGACAGAAAGACACACACGAACAAAATGCTCCATATGCATAATCACTTATTGAAGAATGCCAGGTCTGATTGCCCAAATATCCTATGAGCCATGCTTTTGACCATGATGAGTCTTCGCTTCGCCTTTTGCGGTCGCAAGCTTCCTTTCACTGAAAGACTCTGAAAGCGTTTGACTTCAGTGCAGGCTTGGTGGTGTATATCAGATCATTCCAGTGCAGCGGCGCTGGACTGCTGGAGACTGGTATCGCCACAGGTCACTCAATTGAAAGACGCACGAGTGGTGTGGAGGTAAAGACTCGTAGGGTACTGCAAGAAAGAACTGTTTTATTCACGCCGCTCCGCGGCAAGGTCCGCCCGCACCGCCATGAAACAGTTGCCCAACAAAAACGGCGAATAGCGAGGTTTTTGAGGTTGACGTTGACAAAAACGCCACTATGTACTGTATTTTACAGTGTTTTTATGATCTGTGAGGCAGAAACCACTGCAAGTAGCGATGTTTTTGAGCTTGCCGTGGCCCAAAACACCGCTATTTACAGTGTTTTAACCTGCTGTCAAAAAAACACTGCAATTTGCGACGTTTTCAACAACATGGTCGGCAAAAACACTGCTATTTGCAAGGTTTTTTTTACATTTTTGCATAAAGAACTTAAGCCTCGGCAATGTACAAAAACACTGCACAAAACAATGTTTCTGCCCAACAAAAACGGCGAAAGCCGTCATCCAAACAGCTCCGAAATCACAAAATCGCCCCCCGACAAGACACATAGAAAAAATATGCGTCTCAAAAACGAAAATCGAAGACCAACAGTCAAAAACACATAGGTTTTTTTTCATTTTTCTCTTGCCGGCTCCGGGCGGGCGCATGCACGAACCAGTCCATTCCGTGCTGTAAAGACAGTGTTTTTTGAAGTCCGCCGTCGTGACCTATCAACAACCCATTTTTTTTGGCAAAAATATAGCCTTCCTTTGAGGTAAACCTGTACCTTACAGTTGTTTATGCCATCCAGACTTTCCTCTAGAAAAGAGCATGCAACTTGCGGAGCACTGTCGCTTTTTTTGGGTTTTCTAACAACAAGCCTGGAGCATGCAGCACATCAAACATTTACCATTGTGAGTGTTGACATGAGTTGGCCTAGATTCGGGTTTTTGATAGACTGGAGGCAGAGGAGGCTGCTTTTGCCAAGGTTCCAATGTTGCTACCACAGTTGCAGTGACCGTCTCTGATGCTGTGCCGCTGCCTCAATCATGATTCTTTTTAAAGATGCAGTTTTACACACAAGTTCATGAGACAGAACTGGTCTCTATATAGTCAATGCACGAACGGCTTCCTTTGCATTGTTTCTCTCGCCTTTGGACTTTTTGGTCTCTCCTTCTCTCTGCCTGATGCCCAAATACAAAGAAGCAGATGCTATTGAGGAACAAGAAGCTACTAGGGGCTCCTGGCATCGCTACTAGGAGCAAGGACGCTACTAGGGGCTCCTGGCCTTACTACTAGGAACAAGAAGGCCACTAGTAACTAGTAACAAGAAGCTACTAGGGGCTCTGTTCCCAAGAATCTTGGCTTTCATCGCCACGTCCATTTGGTCTTTGCATGTTCGTCAATTCTCAGGTCTGGGGCGGAAGCACTCAGCGAGGAGATGACGGGTAATGGCCAAGACTACCGAGGTGGCCAACGATATACCAGGAGCTATGGGAGCTATTCGTTTCTGAGTTCTCTATAGCTTGGTTTCTTTTTGTCTATGGCTTTCCTGTTTTCAAAGTATTATATATATAATATTTATATATCATATATACATATATATATATATATATGCACATAGCAATGAAGACAGTCTCAGAAACCAATCACGGCTAGCTCAAGCAAGCCAACAAGGGTACACAGAAAACATCAGTGCTCGGCATTCAGTTCGCGTTCAGGAGTTTATACACTTGCCAGCGCTGGGATACGAACGATCCCCACACCGTAGGCTCTGCAGTGGCCTCTTTTGTAGCTAACTGAGGTAAACAGGATGAGTAGCGATGTCGTTGATTGTTTGATTCCACATATTTGTCACAAGTCTCAACCTCGTTGTGATCCACTGCAATGCAAGACTCTGCCTTACATTCATGACACTGCAAAGTACGTACCCACTCTTGGTTGTTTGGATTGGTGTCTGTTAGCGGAGGCTTCAACCTGACGCAGTACACCATGCTACAGGCGAACTACTGTCACTGGCCTATCTACTTTGCACATCTTTGCACAACATCTTATTTGAGTTAGCTCACTGACAGCCAGAGTGGTGTCTTCCTGAGGCCGAAACCCTGATGGACAAGCTGCTTCCATTTGGCAGGGGTTCCTGGGGATGAGCGCTTCTCAATGGACATGGTACAAAGTGCATGGGACTGCGTAGCACCAGCTCGGCAAGCAGTTTGTTTTTCAAAATTCCACCGGGTTGCAAAAGCGCATACCGAAACAGGTGCTACACCACCGATGCCCAGAAGAAGTGGGAGCTTTGCGATCCAGTGGCTTTGCATCGAAACTATCAGAGTATGATCACCTGAAACAACGAAACGCAAGTTTGGCCAGGGCCTACAGCCTGAGCCTTTATCTCCCAACGTTCGCAATCTTCACCTGTTTTTCTGAGGGCTGTCTTTCGGAGTAAAGGGCTATTTTCCTGGCTTGGCATTGCTTTCTTGAGATGAAAAATGTGTGAATGTTTCTCCACAAGTTTGTGTTCTTGCTATATTCTTCGTAGTTTGTAGATTGCACTGCTTTTCTTTCTATATGTCGATTTCTTCCCAGATGAGGTGGGCTTTAGCTTGCCCGACTGTGTGGTGCTCGGAACTTTTTTTACTACTTCAAAGAGCTGATCCAAGACACGGATGAACAACCTGCTTTAAAACCACAGATTTGACCTGAAAGGTCTAAGGTCATCCGTTACACACGGTCACCCTTTTAATATCCTTCCAGTTCCGCTGAGGTACCAAGGGGTATGCTGTGGAAGATCCGGGCCTACGCCAGTCGACAAGAGTTTAGCGAGACGACCTCTGAACGTCTCATGCACACTTGATGAAGTCATCTGTGGCGAGCTTGTGTGAGGTCAAACCTGCAGTTTTCCTAAAAGACTACGAACCAAATCATTAGTGTGAGCGCTTCTTCCAGAAAGCTCCTCCCCGACCTCAGGCAGGGGAAGCTTCCTTGAAGAAGCGTGAGCTATCCTGCGTCATAATATGTAGGAGCGCACTTCTCCTAGTAGCTTACCAGTCTCCCTTACTTAATTAAGTATGTGCCTACTTCAGCAAGTAGGAGGGCTAAAAAAGCACAACCCAACAACAGAAAAAATATCAGGAGTCCGTGGGAACAACTCGTACAACAAGCTGTGGTTTGTCTATCACGCTTGCGCCTCTCTTCGCTCGATGAGGTGAAGTCCTGAAGATCGTGGCCTACGTCGTTTGGACTCTGGGGGGCATTTGGGTGCCTTGGAAGAGAGAAAGAGTACCCACTCCGTACACAGTGCAGTGCGGATGAACACTTGCATTTTTCTTGAGTCCTGGTTAGATCCCTGATCTTGTTTGGTGGGGCATGTCGCTTTCAGCCTTGTGGATTTCTGTAGTTTTTCGGAGCGCACAACACAACACCATATGTCTTGGAGCCACCTCTCCGAGATCATCGCCGTCTGCTTTCTGCAGAAGCGAATCCGCTTGGCTGTTGCTGTGAACAAGGTGGCGGTGCCTTGGCCAACAAAGGAAGAACAGTGGCGCCATCGGTTCTTCTGGAGTCCGATTTGTTGACCTCTTGTTGACCTCTTCGAGTGCAAACTCGTTTCTCCGCTGGTCATATATCTAACTGGTCGTCCTCCGTGTGGGCCCACTCCATTTCCACAGCAATAGTACTTCACTCTTGCCCAGCATCTTGGCCGACTGGCTGAGGCTCAGTTCGTGTACAACAACCCAAGCATCCTGTTGGTGCCAGCACCATGGCCAACAGTTTCTGCCAACATTGCCTTACAGTCTATGGTTGTTTAGTTCACAAGCTGTCAACAGTCAACAGTCAATACGTAAAGGATGCACCGACTCACAAATACATGCCGCCACCAATAAATACTACACCTTTGGCAGGGCAAATGTTGCAATAGAATAGAAGACAAAGACACTCCAGTGGTAGGAAGGGGAGCTGGCCATTGAAGAAATCTAGTCTCATCGGAGCAGTCCCATCTACACATCTGACGAAGCTTTCGTTGAGCTGCAGGTTGTCCAGATTTTGATTGGCTACGTGTGGCTCCTCGTTTGGATGGTCTGCGCATCCTTCCTGCTTTCGCAGGTGCCCGAGGATTATACGCCGTGGCCCCAGAGGTAAACCTGACAGAGTGAGATGCACAAAGAGTTGATACGCAGCAAGGGCTTTAATCCAGGACCACACCTTACAGTGAGCACCTGGCACCCAGGCCATCAAATGCTTTTGCCACCTACACAGAAGCGCTTCTCAACTAAAATGCTTGGTGAAAGAGCCAGAAGGGAGATCTATATAGTAGATCTAGACTTCTTGCAGCTCTCTTTCACTGCTTGCTTGATATCTGCCAGACACAGGCGGTTTGTTGGCAGTTAAAGACCTATGTGGCCACATTAGATTGTGCATCAGTGAGGGACATCCCAATCCCTATCAACGCACCTCGCATGCCCTTCCCAAGCAATTGCTGCACGTAGGCAGATCATGCGTCACCAGAGCCCTTAGTCAATCTTACTTTGCCTGAAATTTTTGACCCTTGGATCATGTTGCTCATTACTTATGCATGTGTGTGTGATGTCTAACTATGATGGAATGACCGCCTCCTCAAGCTTCAAGGGGTGCTATGCCTTGGGGCGCTGCGGTGGCTGAGGGGATTGCTCTTCTGTCCACCTTTTCGACCTCCTTGTCGTGCCCAGCTCACTGCTATCCATCCTCTCTCATCCCTTGGATTTCTGGGATTGCTCTCGGCCTTGTCTTTGGGCTTCTTACAGGTCTCTGGCTGGCCTGGCATCTCTTCTCCTTTGCATCCTCATCTCGGGTCCCTCCCGAGTTCACCTCACCTGATCCTCCCCTTCGAAGGAGGACCTCTCGTTTGCAGGGCTACTTGTATGAGTGAACTTGAGGCTCTCAGGCAGGAGATCGTGGACCTGACGGACGCCATAAGAGATTTGTCACTGGCTGTTCGCCTTCGTGACGTGGCCGGTGGAGAGGGGGAGGAAGCAGGCTATCCTGTCTCAGCCTCACAGAGTTCTGGGGCAGCGAATTGGGAGTTGGTGGAGGACGGGACGGCAATCCCTGGTGCGCCAAAGGGCTTTTTGGTCCGTGACGTGGTGTTCAACTTCGAAGAGGGCCCACCTCAGACGCCTAGTTTTTGTATTGAAGCTGCCAAGCGTCATCTTACATCTTCAAGGTTTTCCGCAGAAGACAGGGCTCGCTCAGCATTTTCAGCAGGTCACTGGGCCAGGGCTTTTTGGGAGTGCAGGTCACCCTACCGCAGTACCTACAGACCTTCCTTGCCGGCGACTCACTGGATCCTCAGGAAGGGCAGTGGATTTGAGTTGATTCGAGTGTCATCGCAAAAGGATTGCAATCAGCTGCAGCAGGACTACAGGGACATCGTTTTCCTGGAGAAAGTTCCATCCCTCACAGAGTTGCACATCTTTTGCGCGGGAGCTAAGACTGTGGTGCCTCCGCTTTGGCGATGGAGCGCCAGCAGATAGCTTTCGCTTCGCAGAGTGCAGACCCTTCACTGCTCGTGTTGTCAGTTCCTGGCGAGATGGCAGCGGGAGGGCTTGGAATTCAGGCCTTTGCAGTTCCATTAGATGCACGTCGAGGGGGTGTTCTTTTGGCGCTCCCTATTGGTCTTTTTCAGTCTAGCTTGGTTGCTCCAGCTGCTGGTTTTGAGGATGGAGATATGATTGGCCCCTCAACAACACTTGATGTGGATATGGTGGATGAGGATGAGTGGGGCAACATATACTCCTCCGGGTTCCAGAGCAGCGTGTTTGTGGGTGACTTCACGAATTCAGTGCTTGCTATGTTGAGAGAGTATGATCCAGTTACTGATTCGCTGAGCGATATCATCCCTTTCTCGGAGGGGTTTCCTACCGCCCTTCCTTCAGCCTCTGAGTTGTTGTCCAGCTTTGTCTTGGGCTTCTGCAGAGGCTGGTCGAGTCCATTTTTACAGTGCTCGAGAAGAGCAGGAACCAGTTCCCAAGGAACCAGCCGCCAAGAAAGCTGGTGCAAAGAGGATCACTACAGCGGTCCTGGCAGAGCAAGTGGCTTCTTTGTCGGGTCAGGTCGCCCTTCTGACCGCAAGCAGGCCTGTGGAAGCTCACCCTGGTGTTGCAGAGACGGTACCAAGGTTGCCTCACCGCAACTCTGCAGGTCTTGTGCGCGAGCCACCAGATTCTGCAGGAGGAGTTATACGCAAGATGCCAGCCGTATCAATGGGATTGGCTACGCCGGCACGGACATCTCCGGCCAAGGCCCTGCAGCTTTTGGGCCCGCCTCCCCGACCAGGATGTCTCCCACCCAGGGCATGACTCCAGCTCCCCCACCAGACGAGCCCCTAGATCCCCTAAAGGCACCTCCAGAACCCGTCGAAGCAGCTTTGTCCCAGCAATCGGTTGACCGCCCTGGTCTCTCATCTCATTCAAGGAGGGGAGAGTTTTGGTCTGGATGCTCCCGGATCAACTGGGGCTGCATCAAGTTCCACCAGAGGCACCGTGAAGCGAGATCAGATGCAGCATTCACTAGCAACAGGCCAGTCAGGCTTCTTCCTCATGCTGCAACAGCAGATCTGCAGGCGCCTTCAGCCATCTCAAGTAGTGCCCAGAACAGAGGACGAGTTGATGGCAAGATCTCCGTCGTTGGTGACCTATTTAGGAGAGGTATGGGGGCTTCAAGGGACAGAGGGAGACTGGCCTTGTGATGTGGGTGGCCGCTCATGCGGCGGATGCCGCGGCTCGTGGGGACTTCCACACTACAGGGGCGTTTCTTGCATTGCTCATTATGGGTCTCGAGCAGAGTGCATTCGATGCAGGAAGTTGGGACTTAGCGTACATCCTGACTCTAGTCGAAGACCCTCCAGCCAATCTTTTCCAGGAGAAGGTGAGATCAATCACAGCATCAGCTCGGCCGTTTTCTCCTCTGATTCCGGCACCTCTGGCAACTATATCGCTCGCCTACCTCAAGGAGATCTACCTTCTGCAGAGCAGGAGAAACGAGATGAAAGGGAAGAAAGGTCAATCAGCAAGGCAAGAAGAAGGAGACTCCACGCCCTGCCCAAAGAGGAGGCCAAAGTTTCCGAAGAAGCCGAAAGCGCTGGCCGACGGTCAGCCTTGACACCCCAGCAGAAGCAAGAATTCGGGTCCTGTCTCAATGCAGGGGGATCCTTTGCAGATGTTCTCCCAAGGAGGGACCAGCCTGGCGCCACCCTTCCGTCCCTCGTGGATGGTATGGCGCCTACATGGCCTCCTAGCTCCCCATTGCCTGAGGGCGGCCGTCCTTGCCGTTTGCCTTGTGAGGATGGTTGCCTTGAGGCCGGGTTGAGCAGTCCTGCCTCCTTCCAGATCAGACAGGCGAGCTATCCTTTATGGATGTCAAAGCTTACTACTTTGGTCTTGAGGTCGAGATGCACTTTTTCAGCGTTTTTGCATGTTTCCATCCGTGCTTCATTTAGCTCTGAGCCCAGAGCTAGGAGAACACCGTCCCTCTTCCCTGTGCCGGTACCTATCTTGGGTGCCTTTTGCAGGAGGCCCGCAGGCGTCTCGAGTGCCAAGAGAAGGAACCTCCATGCTGCATGTGATTTGCGTGGCTTTGAACTACTGGTATTATGGTGGTGAGTTTGTCCCGGAGGAGCTTTTGCGGAGGGAGCCCAACTCTGCTCACAAGTTGCTCTATAGCAGGGTTCGTTCCTATGTGAGGGCGGACGGCCTCATGGAGTCCTTCGATGTACTTCATGTGGGTCGAAAGAATCCGAATTTGGTTGCAAGATTGTCCGAGCTGACTGCCCTTCTGGTTAGACTCGGCTGCTCCATGTCTCCCTATGACAAGGCCTATGTGGGCTACGAGGTTTCAGCAGACAATACAGTTCTTCCTGAGCTCCAACCTTACCGTGAGCTTGACCCTTCCCGGTTGAAACTCCATGGGACTGGTCATTGGGATGCGACGCCATTCCTCCCAGACAATCTGGTGATGGCCTATCGCGAGCCGGACACCATCAAAGTTGACAGAGTCCCTGAAGTGTGGGAGTATCCAATGCTAAGAGACCCTCCCGAGCGTCTTTTTGCTCTGGCAAAGGTCTGGGATGCCAATGGCCTGTTACGAGAAGGTTGATGCAAGGGTCGTGGGACCTAGCATATTCTTGGATGGCCTCAGAGCCTACGTGCCATCATGTTGCGATGCCGTGGCAGGTGCTTCTGGCAATGGTTTCTGCATGTTTGCTATGGGGATGGTTACCCCTTGCTGGTGTGTTAAGCCTCAGCTGGGGCGCTCTTCTTCGTGCAGGAGAGGTCTTGGCTGCTAGAAGGTGCGACCTTTTACTTCCAAGGGATGTTGAAGATACAGTACATTTTTGTATTCTTGCCATCCTAGAGCCTAAGACTAGGCATTCTGGCGCTCGTCACCAAGCTGCAAAACTTGAAGTGCCTGATTTATTGGAAGTTGTTGACCTCGCCTTCGGCAACCTGCCCGAGTCGGCTAAGCTTTGGTGTTGGTCGGGACAGACCCTACGTCAGAGGTTTCGCGGCCTCTTGGTGGCACTGCTCCTTCCAACTCAACGTTCAGGGAACGTAAAAGCTTTAGATGTTGGCTCTTTGCGTGCAGGTGGAGCAACTTGGCACCTCACCATGACCGAGGATAGGGAATACACCCGCCGTAAAGGCCGGTGGCTCAGCCAGCGTGTTATGGAGATATACGTCCAAGAGACAACTTCCCTGTTGTTCCTCAAGAAGATCTCCGAAAGTTCACGTGAACGTGTTCTGCTCCTGGCTTCGTTGTTCCCACGCCTTCTGCAAAAGGCCAAGCATTGGAACCAGATGCGCCTACCTCCTAATATGTGGCGCTTCCTCTACCAACAAGAAGCTTCGGAGTGATGGGTTGTGCGGGAACCTATGCTGCAGCTCTTGATGACCTGGTGCACCCTGAAAGGATGGAAAGTGAGTGAGGGAAGCCTTGAATTGTTGATGTCTAACTATGATGGAATGACCGCCTCCTCAAGCTTCACCCTCCCTGGCCCTCCCTGAATTTTTTGGTCGAGGGAACCTATGCTGCAGCTCTTGATGACCTGTCAGCCTGTGCACCCTGGAAGGATGGAAAATGAGTGCGGGAAGCCTTGAATTGTTATATATATATATATACACATAAACTCATACTTCCTTGTGACAAATCCAAGGGTGAGAACTGCAACAAGACTGTTGCTCATGTCTACAATTCACAATGAATTGTTTTTCAATTCTAACTTAGTTCTATTTTAACTCCATTTTTTCTGGTTTATTAATGATTCAGTTCAAACTGCTCCTAGTTGAATTCTATCTTCATTACATCCCAAATCGTGATATTAAAGCTATCTATAAGTTTACAAGCGACACATCCTTTCTAGAATTATAATGGCGTTGTTTCAGAATTAAGTTAGAGTTAAGTTAGAACTGAGTCACAACAAAACCTGCATTGAGTTTCAAGCCAATTAAGTTCAACTCGCATTGAATTAGAAGCAAGCCTGAATTAAACTAGAATTGTAAAGCAAAACACATTTGAATGCCTACCAATTAAATAGAATAATATCAGAAATATGTTGCAAATACATTGAAACAACAGTATATTTAAAACTAAACTAGATAAGAACCAAATTTCAATTGTATGGGCGTTAATTTAGAATGAACTTGTACAGACATTAGTTTAGAATGAAAGTCCATTTGATTGAGAGCTAAATTAGAAAAGTTTAACCAGATTAGAATTAGGTTAGAACTGAATTAAACAAAGTTATTGAAATTAAACTTGAATTGGAATTAAATGTAATTCACATTGTTTAAATTGAGCATTCAATCTTGGAACTCAGTTAGAGTCAAATTAAAATTAGTGTAGATTTTCATTAGACTCAAGTTGGAATTAAATTGGACGACGACAGTTTAGAATTAAATTGGGATTAAGTTGAAATCTACTTGCTTTAGTCAATTCCAAAAACTTTTGGTCTAAATATATATACATAAAATTTAAGCTGGTAAAACAGTTAGCTTAGAATTGCATGACCTGAACTTGAATTAGACTAGAAATAACCAATAATTGAATTTATTCTAGAAATAATTTGGAACCCAGTCAAAAAAAACATGGAACCATGCCCAGACCTCTCAATTTGGGGACAAGAAAGCTAGAACTTATTACCGGAGTCATCAAGTAGAATGCTATTAATCAGGATCAGACCAAAAACCTTGAGAAAACCCAACAAAAACAATTCTCGAGTACTCTTTTGCAGAGAAGGTGAGGCGCGGCAAAGACCTCCTGAGAACTGTTTGTTTTGGTTTTCTCAAGGTTTTGTTTCTTTTTTTGTTTCCTCATTGCATGTGACATTGAGGCAGCTTTCAGATGCAAATGGCATGAAAGCAGACAACAGTCGAAAGTTTATGTCACGCACAGACATGGAAAATTTATGTCACACACACAGACAAAGAACATTCAGGCAGATTTCCTGCAAAAACCAAGAAAAACTGCACTTTCACAGTCTCCAGTTTTGTTATTTTTCTGGTGAATGACCTTCCGACACAGTGTTCATTTGTGGTTGAACATTGGTAGGTGGAATTTGTGGAACATTTTGAAGCTCAGGTCAAGACCCATGGTCCATGTATATTTCTTTTGTGTCCTATCTTTTCGTATGAGCAGTTCCAATTCAATTGAGAGGCGGTTCTTTCATTTACATTGCTACCTGAGGGCTGGCAATGCCACTACTCCGGGTGCATGCACTGACAAGTGGCCTTCAGGGATTGTTTGGAAGTACGAGGCCGAACTGGGGAAGTACGATCAGAAGCCGCTTGCGAACGAAGTCTGTTGGAATGAAAGCTGCGATTTTGATGATGATTCAATGGAATCCTCATGCCCTGGTTCAGGGCAACCTGAGCTCCGCAAATGACACATGCACTGGAGTTTATGGTGATACTACAGGCATTGAGCCCCTCAGCCAGCAATCCGGCGATTCTACTTATGATGTCCCACTACAAAGTAACTGTCTATGTGCATGGTAGTCTATTCATCGTTTACCACCAGCACCACGATGGGTGGAATAAGTCCTCCACCACTTCAACACATCGACTTCATCCACCAACCACCACAAGCTTTGCGCCCTTATTGAAGGTTGTGGGGGATGCATGGTTCTATGGTATGATCCTTGAATATGAAATCCTAAAATTTAGCAATTAAATTTCCTAGTCAACTCAGTGGAGCCTGAGATAGAATATGGAACAGGCAGTCCAGTTAGAATATGGGAAACCACTCCTGTAGAGCTCCAGGATTGAGTTGCACCCTACTCATGTACTGTAGGGTTCCCTTGTACTGTTAGTTCTTGCTGGTCGCACTTGCGCTTGCTGCTGTTGATGTGGTGTTGTTCTTTGTATATTCTAACGGCACCTCCGCAAATATGTATTTTTTTAAAATATATTACTGCATTATTCCCCAGATAGCGAAGCTATGGGGTTCTTACTTCAAATAACAATGAATTGCCCGTGCGCGCTTTCGAGACAGGTTGCTGGTGCTGGTGCCGGGTGCCGGTGCTGGTGCTGTGAGCTGGCTGCGCACGTGGTGGAGACAGGTTGGTGCCGGTGCTGGTGGTGGGTGCCGGGCGCCGGTGCTGGTGCTGGTGGCTGGTGCTGTGAGCTGGCTGTGCACGTGGTGGAGACAGGTTGCTGGTGCTGGTGCTGGGTGCCGGGTGCCGGTGCTGGTGCTGGGGCCGGGTGCTGGTGCTGTGAGCTGGCTGTGCACGCAGGTGCTGTGAACTGGCTGTGCACGTGGTGGAAACAGGTTGCTGGCAGGCGCTGGTGCTGGGTGCCGAGTGCCGCTGGTGGTGCCAGGTGCTGGTGCTGTGAGCTGGCTGTGCACGTGGTGGAGACATGTTGCTGGTGCTGGTGCTGGGTGCTGGGTGCCGGTGGCGCTGGTGCTGTGAGCTGGCTGTGCACGTGGTGGAAACAGGTTGCTGGCGCCGGCGCTGGTGCTGGGTGCCGGGTGCCGCTGGTGGTGCCGGGTGCTGGTGTGAGCTGGCTGTGCGCTTGGTGGAGACAGGTTGCTGGTGCTGGTGGAGACAGGGTGCCGGTGCTGGGTGTACGCGTGGTGCATGGAGACAGGGTGCCGGGGCGGGTGCGCGCGCGTGGTGGAGACAGGGTGTCGGTGCTGCTGGCCGTGCGCGTGCCGGTGCCGGCGCTGGGTGCTGGCTGGCTGGCTGTGTGCGTGGTGGAGACAGGGTGCTGGGCGCCGGCGCTGCGAGGTTGCTGTGCGCGTGGTGGAGACAGGGTGCCGGTGCTGTGTGCTGGGTGCGTGCTGTGAGCTGGCTGCGCAGGTGGTGGAGACAGGGTGCCGGTGCTGGGTGGGTGCTGGGTGTCGGTCCTGGTGCTGGTGCTGTGAGCTGGCTGTATGCGCGCAACATCATACGGTGTTGTCGCTTGAGCATTCTTTGTCTATTAGCGCTGTGGGGTATTTACCCTCTTGAGGTTTTGTTTTGGCCGACAGCTGTGTCAAGGGCTGTACTGTTTGCGCGCGCATGCTTTTGTACGTATAATGTTGTATGCGCAACGTCAGGCTCCCAACCGACCATTCTTTCAGCATGTTTCAGCATGCTACACACACAATAGTCGTGCTGGATATTGCTTGGCCTTGGGCAAGTGAGGCCTACGGCCTCTGGGCTTTGCCGTTTGTGCGCATACTTTTGCGCGCGTAAACTTGTACGCGCAAGATCATACTGGCCGTATCGTTCTACAGATCGTTGCTTCAAGCATGCTACAAAATCAACAGTGGCGCTGGATACTGCTGGGCCTTGGGCCAATGACACTTACGGGCTTTGCTGCTTGCGCGCATGCTTTTGTGCGCATAATCTTTTTCGCGCAAGATCATACGTTGTTATTCCCTGCTGTGCGCGTGGTGGCGACAGGGTGCCAGTGCTGGGCGCCTGTGAGCTGGCTGTGCGCGTGGTGCCAACAGGTTGCGGGTGCTGGGTGCTGGTGCTGGGTGCTGTCAGCTGGCTGTGCGCGTGGTGGAAACAGGGTGCCGGGTGCTGGCTGTGCGCGCGTGTGGTGCTGTGAGCTGGCGTGCCGGTGCTGGGTGCTGGTGCTGTGGCGGACACAGGGTGCCGCCGGGTTGCTGGTTGTGTGCGTGGTGCAGATTGGGTGCTGGCGCCGGGTGTTGGCGCTGGCTGTGCGCGTAGTGGAGACACGCCGCGATGTAGCGCATGTAAAAATTGGAGCTGCTGCCAATGCAGGGTGCAGCCCAGAAAAATCTTTTGCATGCTTTTGCTATCTGGGGTCTATGCTGGTGTAATATTCTTTTTTCGACTTCTAACTGCTAGTCTATGAGTGTAAGTGGTGCCCGATCCTTTACGTCAACAGTAGCATCATCCATTAGTTTTAGCTTGAAGCTTTCGCGGGTTCTAAAAGTTAAGAAATGGATCGAATTTCTCCTGATGCTTCTGATGCATCTATATACATGTGTGTCGTGGCGACTCGTCCGAAAGCTGCCATTTGGCTGGCGCGGTTGCAGCCATTTCTAAATTCCAATGACCTACTTCTGAGCTTCAGCTTCAGAAAGAAATCCGACCGCGGGTTTAAACAACTTCCTTGAAGCTCAAGCTGCTCCAAGGCCCTTGTGTTGGCGGTGCTCACCACCTCGCTATGTCTTTGATGTGAAGTTTGCTGGAGTGCCTCGGATAGAAGGATCAGAAGCGGACGTCACTTTTTTTAAAGCAATTATTGCGATCAGTTTTCCATAGTCGTGAAATTCCTTTCTGGCACAATTGCTACACATCCTGGAGCTTCTTGTCCCAAAATTTTTGCTTGTCGACAACAGCGTTTCCTCTCGAAGGCTTTCTTTACGCTGCTGTGGAACAACGCTTTCCTGGTGGCCTTGGGACAGCACTGATGCCTAGAATGCTCCGACTGACTAGCCTGTACGTCAACTGCATTAGCACAACAGCAGAAATCTAGGATTTCTTCATTTCTATGGGGCAACAAAGTGCCTTTCGAGCCATGCATTAAGGTGTCCGATGTAGACATGAACCCAGGGTTCAATAACTTTCTTTCCTCTTTCTTTCTAGGGTTTATGACCAATCTTGAACATGTGTGCTTTCAAGCAAAGGATCCAGCGATCCTCTCCCCTGCCTGTGCAGACTGAGGCTCATAGTGGCCGGCGCTTGTGCACAGTGGTTTTTTTACACTTGCAGAACGTCGCGGGAAGGCAGGGAAGTGCTGTCCATTTTGGAGCAGATTCGTCCCATGCGTGGAAGAACAAGCAGAAGCATGCATTATTCAAAACGCCTTTACCGAAGATGCTTGCACAGGAACCTGTGATTCGCCAATCGCTGCGGACTGCATTCCGCCACTGGGACAGATTACGTGTGTATAAATGAAAAAAACCATATATTGTTATTGTTTTTTTGCATAAACACTATATATATATATATATTGTGTATTCTTGTCCAGACCAGGCATGTGAAGCTGAAGTTGACCTTCTGGAGAATACCAACCACATGTACACCCAGGAATTGGTAACTTTACTTGGTCTAGTAAATTCAATTGGTTGAAAGTGATAGTTCAAGAGTCCATACGGCAAAACTTGCGTTCAATTCAATGGAGATGGCCAGTGTGTGCTTTGTATATTTTTTGTTCCTTTAATTGAGACTCAAAGGGCTATTTCCACGCCCGCGGCATACAAGCCATTCCTCTCTGTCACTCCAAGTACTCTTGGAAAGTTCGATGTTCACTTTGATCCTTGAAATTCTGAGGCTATCACCTGGGCTCTGTAGCCTTTGGCCTTGGCCTCAAAAAGAAAGAAACACAGTCATAGAAACCAAACTTTAGAGGTGAACATATGTGACTCGTCGAGTAATTACCGGACGACTTGTCAATGTAGACCTTCGTTGAGGTGCCTTTATTCTGGCTTTGGTGCAGTTCATCAGGCACATGAGATGGAATTGTGTAGACAGCTTTTTTGTCATAGTTTGCTGCAAATCTTTTGAGATCTCAAGTTCTTTTTCGGGGCTAGTCTTGCTGTGTTGGGTTGCCCGGACCAGGTACCTGACCAAATACTTCCGCAAGCAGGCCAGATTGGACCATAGGAAGTGATGCGCTTTGTGCACAGTGAACAGGAAGAACTTCTATGCTCTTGAGAAAGTCAGCAAAAAAGCTTTTGTGTGATCTTTTGCGTGTTTCTACAGGGTTTAGGTGAAACCTTGGTGGAAGTAAGCACAATCTTAGACCAGACAAGAATGAAGACATTTCTAGCAGTCATTCCGACATTGACAGACTATTTGCTTTTCCACCAAAGTGTTTTCACGAAGATCGCAAAAGAAACTGTAGTGAAACACCTGATTTTAAGCCGTTGAAATGTTGGTTGCCGGGCACCCCCCGTTTATCCAAGATGTTGAAGCCATGCATGCTCGGAAACCTTGCAAATCGTTTTGGATGCGTCATGATGTCTGCGTCACGGTCACAATAGACTTTTTTCGTTTCCGGCCACCGGCCCGGCCACCCGGCCACGCGGCAACCCGGCCAGCCGGCCAGACCCTCAGCCCGGCCACAGCCGGCCACCGCCGGGCACGCGGCCAGCCGGCCACCCCCGGCCATCCGGCCAGCCCCGACCAGCCCTGGCCAGCCCCGGCCACCCGGCCATGCCAGCCGACAATCTCACGACCAGTCACCTGTATGTTTGGGGTCGCGCCCCGTCACCGCCGTACGCCCTTGTTTTTTGTTGTTGTTGTTGTGCCAAGCTAGAAGCGGAAAAGCTTCGCTGAATGCTGGCTGTTCCTAGCGGACTACACTCAAGGAACCTACACTCAAGCGCGCGTGCAACCTCCACTCAAGCGGCAAAGGGCTCGCCGGAATCAGTCGGCGCATATCTATAGCTGGCTTAAGTCAAGTGACGTGTGCCAAGCTTTACAACAAATGAGCCTTAACCATGCAGGATTGATCATTGACATCAACGAGCTGACTTGTGCCGAGTCTTTGTCGCAGAGGTACCACTTCTAAGCCAAATTGGCGGCGCGCCTCCCCGATCTCCATGTTGTTGTACATCCAGTTGAAGCTGTTCTGCTTGCAGCATCAACATGCATCCGACATGGCTCATCGCTTATCAGAGATGAGCTTCACAATTGAGCTTATCATTGCTGAAAGCCTGAGCTCGCAATTTAGCCTGTTAGGCCACACAGTGCACCACATGAACAAGTTCTTTGCCCAGCTATTCATCCACGAGCGCGCAAAAACATAACACGTCAAAGCTCCTGCACCTGTGGGACAAAAAACGGGCAAGCGCAAAGAAGTGCAGAAACAGTCCGGATGTATAACAGGTCGGTTGATGAGTTTCACAACAGACTAGTTTTTGCATGTTTTCGCTGTCCGTAACCCTGCAAAATGTCAGCTTGCAAGGCGGCTGAGTGTTGTACGTTGTGCCTATTGCATGTATTCCCCACGGTCCTGGAGACAGCTTATAGCTAATTACTGCTCAAGCTACCAACAATGTGTCACCAAAGGTGGTTTTGGATGGCCATTCCGTTTTTCTGGGGTCATGCTCAGGAATACTATTGCAGGACAAAATTTAAACTGCCGCTCAGGAAACACACACTGCGGTGCGGGGATACTACTCACCATCAACTGGAACCATCCCAGATATCTATTTAAGGGTGCGGTGATCTGCAGATCTTCCACGCTTTCTCCCACATACAACCCTCACCCGCGCGACCTAAAACACGCGCCGACTCACCTCCAGCCACCAGCCACCTCTGGCCATCCGGCCACATCTGGCCATCCGGAAAAATGGCCATCCGGCCACATCCGGCCATCCGGCCACATCCGGCCGGCCACCTCCGGCCATCCGGCCACGTCCGGCCACCGGCCACATCCCACCGATGACCGGCCACCCGTGGCCACCGGCCAGGCCAGCCGGCCACCCGCAAAAAAGAGTCTATCCCCCATCACGGTACATATTTCTTGAATGCCTAGTTAAAGAGTGACTACGGAGGTTGACAGAATGTTTGTTTTCGTTTGTAGGTTTTGCTTCTCTTTTGGTGAAAGCTAACAGTAGACTTGTTCAGTCTTGCTTGCTGAACGTAATATCTGCCAGGCAGCTGCGCAGAAAAACAAGGTCATGGTGCGGATGCTCACGATGAGATTTTTGGAGAGATCCAGGTATGCAGATGATTTGGACTCAACACTTCTGCATTTTGCTTGGAACATCTTGAAGCAAAACCATTCCACTAGGCTCTCTCCAGCTGTTCTGTTTTTGATATGTTGCGCAGAATCTCAATTTATACTTGGATTTGTTTGGAGATTGCACAGGTTCTCACGACGCCAGCACATGCTTGAACACATGGGTAAGTATATAGCCCGGCCCAAACCCAGTGGAAACGCTTTCTTTGAAGCTACAGCCCGAATAAGAGCGCAAGTGAAAGGCTAGGCTCTTCACAGGCGATTTAGCACTTGTCTACTGCATGCGTACTCCAAACATGTCTCCATACACTCTGACGTCGGCTTCGTCAATGTCCTAAACTCTAGGCACAACCTCAGCGAAATATGAATAGACTGGCAATTAGTCCACGAAACAACACCGCGGCCTTGTACAAAAAGGTGCAGTATAATGTATTGGAATGCTGTCAAATCCGGCAAAATGCAACCCATGCAAGGCATTCACATGACAACTGGCAACTGACACAGCGCTTCCGCTTCTGAATGCACTCCGCAGAAGGGGATGATACACTGGATGATTTGTAGCTCTAACCCACTCTATGGACACTTCGCGTGTACATCGCTGCTGGGCCCAAGGTCATTGTGCTGCGGATACTTGAATGCTGCCTTTGGGTTCTTGAGCAGCTTGGTGAAATCGTCGCAGTCGCAGGGGAGTCAACCTTGAACATAAGCACTCTGGCGGGGGCATCGCTAGACGGATTGGCAGAAGGTTTGAGAGTATTTCTCGAGGGGCTGAGATCTTGCATGATTGCTGGAGTTGTACGAGAGGGCCGAGGGGCAAAGGGGAAGAGGGGCAAATGCAGCTGGGACTACTAAGCTCGCAGGCAGTGCTTTACTCAAAATCTCATGTCCATGTTGTGGAAACTAAGGAAATTTATCAAATTCCTCAACAAGAATGCCTACATCCAGGCCAGTCATGATAGTCATGCTGTCTGTCTGCTGCTGACTGGGTCACAGAGTGCTGCAGCAAGAAGAATCCTCCTGTTTTTGTTTGATTCGCTTCGCATCACACCCTGGTACAACGCAGGTGGCTTTGATGGGCACAAACTTCTGCACTTCTGCAAAGCTCCTTGGCCTTGGGTTGATCGACTCTTCTTCCGGAAAGAAGGGGGCTCAGAGTGTGTCCGCTGACCCCCCCTCTTGCACCCTTCTTTGTGAACCCATGCTATAGTTAAATTTCCCGAAACATCTAGGTACCAAAGGAAGAACCTCCCCGCCGCCTTTAGGGCGGCGGAGGGGAGCTTCCTTGAAGAAGCGTGAGCTATCCAGCGTCCATATGTAGTAGCTTACTTGTAGGTACTAGCTACCTCTCCCTTGCTTAATTAAGTAGACGCCGACTTGTATAATTCAGTAGGGAGGGGTGAGCGGGCGTTAAACAGCCACTTTGTCGAGGAATGCCTTCCAGCTCATTCTGCGCAACATGGTGCGTTTCGGCGTCGTGGTTCCTTGGCGGAACACGTTCTGCGAGAGACGAGACGACATGAGACGACTGGGTCGGCGGGGAAAACGGAAGCTACGGCGCTCGCCCTTGAGGCCATCTTGGGGACCGTCATACACTATATTGGCTGGACGGTCATCACAGTGGGCACTGCTGCGGTGGGATATGTGATCTTCCAGGCGTGATCTTGTGCATGGTGCCTGGCGCCTGGCTGTTGGAAGGGCCCCTTGTGCAAGTCATTGTCACAAGTCTGCCTGCGCAGGCCTTTCATCCAGATGCGGATATTCTGATGCCAATGTTTACTTATGTTGCAACAGGCTACATGGTAGTTGCTTGGCCAGAAACCTTTATCTCTTGCTTTTTGTGGACAGGCTTTGCCTTATTTGGTCTTATACAAGTTTGGAGCCTACAGAACATGCCGTGCGTGGGCTTTCCATAAACAGCAAGTTGGATGCCTGGAGGCACATTTGTTCATGAATGTCTTTGGTCTTGGCGTGGACACTTCCCTACAGTGCTTCATTGCTGCAGAGGAAATGGGTGTGGCTCAGGAGAAGCTGTATAGACGCCACACACGAGCAAGCCATACCATGCCGTTTTGCATTTTTCCTTCTTTTTGGTGGTGTGAACAGGCTGTAAATCCTGTGGTGTGAAAACGTGTGTTTACACGACCTCTCTGAAGCAGATCTTCCACACGCGGTTCCACACCCGTCACCACACACGGAACCTGTGCCCTGAACCTGTGCCCTCTGCAAACAGGAATATGTGCCCTCGGAGCTGAAGAGCTTGGTCGAACAAAACCCGGGCAAGAAGAAATGGGCTCTCTTTGGTGGATCCAAGGCGCGGACAGCCAAATCCAAGCTGTTCACATTGAAAACGAAGTGACAACAACTGTAATCCAAGTTAAGTCACTGAAGTTTTGCTGTCAAAGTTTACACCAGATCAATACTAGTGGGTTCTAATTCAGCGTAGCAATCAGCTAAAAAAAGACAACGACCTCAAGCAACCTCTCGAACAACTTCCCAACGCAGTGAAGCACCGCACCATCCCTTGACACTGTCAAACGATCTATTTGCGCACGGGACAGGTTGCACCTTCAGGGTGAAGGTCGGAGCTTGGACGTTTTGAAGCCCGTTGAGCCTCAAAAAGAGCCACAAAAGGCCCAGGCATCAAGCAAAGGGATCGCACAACCGAATCCAACATAAGTAACACGGATGGACTTTTCCAGCAGGCCCAGCACACTGAGAAGTTTGTCAAGTCACTTGAACCGAATCAAACAACTATTCTTTCAATTTGTGTGCATCTCGGGCTTCAGCATGACTCTTGCACATATTTATTGCACGAAATGGAGTGCTAGGCACACTTGTGTTTGCTCCAAATCACAACGATTCAATGTTTCACCGGTCGATTTCACGGCCACCACGAGGGTGGGACACCGTTTCTGTTCCAGTGACCACCCACCTTGGTTTCAAGGAGCAGAAGTAGACCTTCCTCGATCGGGATTGTTGGGGGTTCGACGCCCCGTTATCAGTGCTGTGCAGCGTGGGAAGGTCTTCTTACTGCATGGCGCTTGGAATCAAATGCTTCACAAGAAGTCGAAGACTCTGTGAACATGGACAGGGAGGATCCAGGGTGTTATTTTACTGTATGGTTCTCTTCAACTCTGTGCTCTCTTTAAGTTACTTTCAGACGTACTTCCTCCCGTACGAGCCCAAGAGCTGTACGCTGCATCGTGTGGGGGCAGAGTTTCCCGATCACCTGCAGCGAACGTGTTCGGTGTGAAAAAGAGGTCCAACGAAAGAGGACTTTCTATAAATCCGTGGGAAGATTTGATATCAATTCAGATTTGGGCGTTTGATACGTGTTCCATTCAGCTGTCGGGATGCTAGCGGCTAGAGGCTGTAGGCCGCCCAGGCCTGAATGGATCCAGTTGTTCATTTTGATTCAAAGATGTAATCCAAGGGCAAGACACTAAGATACCTTCTTGCAATACTGAGCTTCTTGGATTGTTTCCTGATGGAACTATTCTTGGATTGTTTCCTGATGGAACTATTCCTTCTGCTTTGCCACAGAAGCACGATCAACTTCCTGTTGGATACAAGAGTTGGTATGGTTGTAGATGTAGATGTTTGTAGCAATTTCTTGATTGCTCTGTTTGTGGAACAAAGACACTCTACTTCGCCAAGTTCACAGGAGTCTGTCCCAGTGGTCGAGTACCTGAAGTCTCAGAGCTTGCTTCGGCAAGTGCAATGCGAAAAAGCGGTGGAAGAGGCGGGAGTCCAGGAAGGGTCCGGGGTCTGATGGACATGCTTCGGTCGGAGTAGCGCTGATATCTAGATGTACATAATATGAATATGATATGCATACACACATACATAGCATACACACATACATACATATACATGTATATATATATACACATACATACAGTCATACAGCAAGCATGCACCAAAGTAAGCTGTCGAGAGACACCTTAGATAGCTTGGCATGTGTTTTTTTTCCATCAACAAATCGACTTGGTAAACTAGTAAACCACCAGTCTGCTCCTGTATACTTCTGCCGTTCGCGGCCACAGGAATTGTTGAAAGGGGAGGATAGAAACCCTCAGTCCTGCAAAAGAAGCCTTCCCTCCCAGCGACGAGAGCAGCTCGAACATCAAGTTGTCAAAGTGGACAGGTCTGGAAGGACGTCCGTGCCCTCTTTGGCCCCAGCGTGGTTTTCGTACTTGGTGGCCCTGGTGCTGGGAAAGGTGGGAGCTTTCCGTTGGGAAAGCTTTTTCAAGCCGTGAACGCCGTGCGTCCTTGGTTGAGTCGATGCGCAACATGTCAAGCAGCTTGGCTCTTGCTAAAAATAGAGAGAACACCTTTTCCCTTGTGGATTGGACGGTTTGGCTTTCCAGGCACCTTGTGTGGAAAGATTGTGGAGGCCCGCTGACGAACGCTGTCCTGCACTTTCGACAAGGGAAACCTAGCGAGAAAGATGATGTGGGCAGAGAACTCATCAAAAGAAAAATCACAGAAGATCATGATCTCCAGCTTTCAAGAGATCTGCTGGAAGGCCTGTGGCTACCAACACCTCAGTGCAGGTGATCTGCTTCGGGAGGCCGAAACGGAGATCAGTGAGAGACATGGCCAGCTTGCAGTCCCTTGCCGTCGCTTGCCGCTTGCAGCGACCGGAGGAGCGGAGGCGGCCCGGCTCCAGACTAGGGGAGCTGATTGAAGCCCACATCAAGGAGTTTGCAGCTGTCGGTTTTTGGGGATCCGAGCGTGCTTGGAGACTACTGTAGGCTACTAGTACACAAAGGCTAAATGGCCAGCTGTTTTTTCTCCTTGGTGGGAAATAGAGTCAAACTTATGCCCAAGGTGCCTCTTCCCAATAAGGAAGAAAAGACAGGTGGAAGAAACCATGGCTTTGAAATGAGGCATAGAACATCAAGCAGCAAGCAAGGATATGCAGGTCATCGATCTATCTTTTTGGTTTGCCTGAGAGCCAACTAGCTAGAGCCGTTTTTCCAGGAAGGCAAACTGGTGCCTGCCAGCATCGTAGTGGAGCTGCTACTGAAGGCAACCGCAAACTGGCTGGGTGGGTAAAAAATCTCAAACGGGCAAAGCAGGTTCAACCGCTGCATATAGGGAAGGAGGTGAAGTTGGCCAGGCAGTCTGTTCTCTACTGTAACTTAGTGAGGGGAAGTAACTGATCTTAAGAACGAGGGCAAGAATCTCAATGTGGCAGTTCTTTACCTAGTCCTTCTTGTCGATTCAGGGCTCGCTGAATGCACACAGGCTCCCGGCTCCCGCACTAGAATCGAGCCACACTTATCCAGGCGATGCGAGAGCATGGCTGGGAGGGTGGCAAGTACCTCATCGATGGCTTTCCAAGGACCACAGCTGGTGCCCTTGAGCATATCAGCCGTGTCACAGAGCATTCAAATTCGAAGCTCCATGGTGCTTCACTCTAATTATTCTAATTTGGCCTGTTTTGCTCCAGCACAGAATGGCAGAACATGTGCTTGCAGGTGACGTGAGAACTCAAAAATTGGTAGCCCCAAAGGGTTCTCCAGTAGTGAGCAGTACATTCAACCTTAAATTGAAGCATGAACAGTGCTCAGACCAGCTCGAATATTTAAGACAGGAGCTTGCTAGAGGGTCCCAAACGAAATCATCCTAACAGAGGCATTCCAGGAGCACCAGCACGATTGCACCCAAATCATTTGAGCAAAATGCCCCTGGCCAGCATGGATGAGGTCGTCGAGACAGGGCTGCCAGGCTTGGAAGAGGTCGACACTGAGGTGAGGAAGAAGCGACAAGAAGTGCTCGAAGAGTTATTACACCTTCGAGAGAGCTTGAAGGAAAATCAGTCACAGAATTTGGAAGCCCAGCAGGCGCTGAAAGTTGCACTGACCCAGAATCTGAAAGAGCTTGAGGTGCAAGGTTCTTCTTTGAAGATCCTGCAGGAGACGTCCAAAGAGCTACAAAGCCAACTCCAGGAACTGAGCCTTGCCCCGCAGAAGCAGATCTTCGAGAGTTTGAAGGTCGATATGGAGCTTCTTCCAGATTTGAGCCACCTGGTGGAGCAACAAGGTCGGCTTCTCAATTCCATCCGTACCCAGGACCTTGGAGACAGACTTGCAGAAATGCAGCGCACAATGGAAAGCCAGGGCAGATTGCTGGAGGCGTTTCGTTCTCAGGAAGCTACGTACAATAGCGAGATCCAAAGAAGCTTGGAAGCCAACACGGTTGGTCTACAGTCCCTCCGTGCACAGGAGACTGGGCAACATGTCGTTGAGTTGCAACGGCTGGTTGAGACGCAGACGAGAACGGTTGAATCGCTCCGTTCTCAGTCACTTCAAGTGCAAGAGATGCTTCAAAGTCAGGATCCCGAGAAGCGCTTGAGTGAATTGAAGAGGTCCAGCGACAGCATGGTAGAGCTGTTTCAAGAGGTGAAGATGCGCATTTTCGAGAGCACGTCAAAGTTGCAGGAAGCCTCAAATGATTACAACTTGCGAAGCCTGCGAATGTTGGAGGCAGCACAGGCTGGAATCGGTAAGACTCTAAGTCAGCTACAGGACCAACAGGCCGCGGTGGGAAAATTTCACAGTAGTCTGAGTGAATATCGCGCGGATATGGCAGCTTGGCAATCAGAAGCAGCTGAAGAACTACATCAGGCCATGCAGACCCAAGCGCAAGAGTTCCAGGCAGTGAAGTCTCACGTATCTTCCTCAGCAGAGCTCGTGCTCAGCGGCGTGAGAGAAGCCCTGGAGATGCAGCAAGGATCGCATGCAAAGCAGCTTTGCATGGTAAAGCAATCCATTGTTGATCAACTGCAGAACTTCGATTCTCAGTTCAAGCAGATCTCGCAGTTGCAGAGCGGCCAGCTCGAAATAGTATCGCAGTTGGCCATTTATGGTAGCCAGCTAAGTGAGCAAGACACTCAGCTGAAAGAGCTTGCAAAGCCGGCAGCATCGCAGAAGACCTTGGAGCAGTTCATGATGCAGATGGAAGCTAAACAGCAGGAAGCACATGCGGAACATGTAAAAGAAATGCAGAAGCTCCAAAAATCCTTTGCTACGGAGATGGATTGCCAGGGCCTTCGTGTTGAGCTCGATGCTTCAAAGAACCGCCAGCTCTCTATAGAAGCTCAGCAAGTGATCCGTGAGAGATCTTGGGAAGAGGAGAGCATTAGCATGAGCAGAAACATGTTCAGGTTTGCTTGTGCATCGATATGTCTGTAGACTTGGTACCTCACGCGTGCTCTTAAACCATGCAAAACTGATCTACTGTAGATTGTAAAGCTGGTACTTGCTGTCTTGCACGCCACCACACACGGCTCGACCTGTGATTTTGCAGGAGAAAGCCAAATTTGAGAAGGAAGTCGCTAGACTTCGGGCAAGGGAAGCCTCCTTGGCACAGCAACTGCAGCAGGCCATCGTTGACGTTGAGGTGCCCGTGGACTTTGAGGAGATGAGCTTTCTGCCGCCACCACCTCCGCCGCGAGTTTGGCCGCGAATTCTTCTAGCCTTAGTGCTCGTGGGGCTCTTGGCTCTTGTGGCCCACTTCGGGTGGCATAGGCCGTTCGAGGCATTGCCCCGTTGCGAAGTTCGGGGCCCCAACATCCTGGGGCGGCCGAGAAGCCCGAACATCAGAAAAAGGCCGCGCAAACCGCCCGCCGAAAGCTTGAGAAGTCTTGAGAAAACACAAAAAGGTCTCCAGGCCTGTCAGGGCGGAAAAAAGGCACTTGTCTTCCTTCAGGGTATTGTGCTATCATGTAAAGCTGTGGCCCCTGCTGTGGCACTTGGAGAACCAGACTGTGACGAATGTACCAGACGCACAGCAGATTGTAGATTTGGACTCATTGGGCTATCACCAGGGGCACCAGCAGGGGCTTTAAACATGAAACTCTTGTGGAACACAACCTTTGCAAAAAGAGAGGGGATAAACCAAGATGTGAAATGCACATCTAAGCCAAAATGTTATACATGTCTTCTGTCACACATTGCACACAAAGGGGCCTTTGTGCTGCGTGCCGGGCCGTATCAAGTGGGTTTTGCATCGCCAGGAGCTTTGACAACCTCCAGGCATGGGAAGAGACTGTCCAAGATCAGGCCTGCCATACCTTGCGATTTTCAAGCAGCAGTGACATTTGTGCTTTCACATATTGGCATTTCGGATCGCAGTCTTGGGCTTCCCGTTTCGGATCTTGAGCTTCCAGGTCCTTGTGAGGTTCGTTCTCTTCTTGGATGTGAATGAGCAGGTGATGGAGGCACCTCATTTTTTCCCGAATTCGGTCGTCACCGGTTTCACATGAAAAGGTGGTCGAATGACTCCCGTGGAAAGAGAGGGAGCCGTGCCTGGCCGCAGGCGCGGCTCCTGGAGCGGGGCAAGACGAGTGGACGTGCTGATGACAACATCGAGTCGGGAAGCCAGAGACGGAGCGGGCGAAACGGACCCCGACCCAATGATGTTCAGGAAACCTGGGTTCGGTTTGAAGCGTTTCTGTGCGTCACTACTAGTAACAAATGCATCGCTACTAGTAGCTGGAAGCTACTAGTAACAAAGCTGCTTGTCACAATTGGTGGTGCCGATGGTGCCATGAGATTTTGCAATGAGGTCTATTAGAAAGCGCTTCCTAACTTTCCACAAGGCAGGTGGGAGGGCTGTCGTCAATCCAAGGTCGATTGTCCAAAACGTTACACTTCGGGCAAAATTAGTGCAACTCTTTCCGACCACATTCCTGTGGCTTGGACTATGCAGACATTTGTTTTCATTACTACACCTTTCAAAGTCACAGAATTATGGCTTTGGTACAGCTACCAGGAGTCCATACCAGTTGTGGAGCGCTTCCAGAAGGAAGGGCGCATTAGAAGGAGCGAGCAGACTTGGTGTCCCAGAAGATTGTGCGTTTGTGCGGCACCTGTCAGTATGGCACTGTAAGTGTGAGGGTTGAGAAACAGCGAATGACAAGGATCTCTTGACTGAATCTGTTTTTGTATTTTTTCTTTCCGTTGTCCAGATGGAAGGTTTTTGCTATAGAGCCTGGTGCTGGACACTTTGGTAGTCGTGCATTCAATCGGGTATATTTCGGTTTTGCAAGATGTGATGTGTCACGGAGGATTGATGCAGATCAGCATCCGGATGCAGTCTGGAGGGATGTGCAGGCTGACGAGCTTCTTAACTGTCTTGGATGTAAGGCCTTTCAATCGTATTCTTGTCACAGAATTCAAGACCCTGTGACCTTTCGAAAAGCTCTCCGAACTCAATGAAGAAGTCTTCTCGGCGGAGGACCTACTGCAAGCCCAAGAGCACCTTTCAAACGTGCTAAGACGGAACTGTTATTGGCAATGGCGTAAAGACAGAGCTGTTTTGCTCCGCGATCTGCCTGATCATAAAGAAAGCATTCATGTCATCAGCAAAAGGGGCAGCGACGTCGAAAAACCTTTCAATTTACTTCAGCGAATACTCGTTTTTTTTTCGGAGCCAATCCAAAGGAAGTGTCTTTGTCACTGTCACTCCAATGTTTGGATTAGTGAAGGTTCTTTTTGGTCCCTCCGTGGTCTTTGTCCTGGGCGGCCCTGGCGCGGGCAAGGGCACACAGTGTACCAAGATAGCAGTCAGGGAACCCAGACTGAGGTGCTACCAGTGAGTCAGAGTCATGCCTGCGTAAGCTCATGGTCAGTGCAACGTGTTATGAATCAACAAAGTGCAAAGTTTCAAACAGGCACCAGCTTAATTGCTTCTCTGTTTCCCTTTCTGCTTCTCTGCTTTGCCGCATTATTATTTGAGTGTTTTTCTGTTTCTTTGCTGTTCTTCTTTTTTGATTTTCTGCTTCTCTACCTTTCAGCTTCTTTGTTTTTCCGTTTGCATTCTTCTTTGCCTTTCTGCTTGTCTGCTCTGCCTCTTTGCTGTTTTGGTTTCATGTTTACTTTACTTGCCTTCGCTTCTTTGCCTGTGTCTTTTTTGTTGTTTATTTTCTAAAGAAGCAAAGAAAGAAGCAAGGAAGGAAGAAATCAAGCAAGGAAGCAAGCAAGCAAGCAAGCAAGAGAGAGAGAGAGAGCTATCTCCAGTTCACTGCCAGCCGCGACATCAAACTGATTTTCACACCGTGCTCCTTTTGCATTTTAGACCCTGCTGCGTGCAACACAACGACAGCTGCAAAAATTAGCCATACCCACTTACCTATATATCCAATATCCAATCCTACCCAAGCATCCTTGGTGGCGGCTTTACGTTCATTTCCGCTTGCAAACAACCGGAAATGAGAGCTTCCCATGCCAAAAGAAGGCAAAGCACTCCAGGATTTTGCCCAGCAATAAATCCCTTTCCCAAACTAAGAAGCAAAATCCCAAACAAATCCAAACTCGAGTTATAGGGTTGGTGAGACAAGCTAAAGTCATGTTGTTTTGCCGGAATTTTGCCGACATGGTAACTTAGACCTTTGATAGAAGATTGCCAAGGAAACGTTTGGCTACACGCATCTGAGCGCTGGAGACCTCCTTCGAGAGGACTTCAATTTTCGTGCGTCAACGGAGCAAGGAACCCCCTGCTTGAAACATCGGGAAACTATGTATTGACTTCACAAGGAAATAGTCTAAGGCCCCCCCTTGTGGGGTTCAGTCATTCAATTTGCTGTGTTACAAACCAACATCTTGCGATGTTCAATTTCAGCAAATTTCGGCAGACCAGACCACGGTTCGGTCCATTTCACATCCCGTGATTTTGGATTTGAATATACAACGTGCTGATACAGAGAAATGCCTGAAGTATATACTTGCATTTGCTCGTAATTGGAAATGCTACCATCTGTTCGTTGACATAGTGATGGAGAGATTGTGCCCTTTGTGCCACAAAGGCATAAAAGGAGGGTGCTGATAAATGCCCTCAATCATGCTGCCCTTTCAAGCACGGTGAACTTCGCACACCAATAGTGTACCAGTAGTTACTAAGTAGTAACATTGTGGACCAATGCGTTGCATACATTTCTTCGGCAGGAGAGAAGCCGGGAAGGCTCAGAATATGGAGAACTCATCAACCGCTACATCAAGGTGAAAGGGCCTGGTGATTTGACAGCAAGTTTTCCTCTTGATTTGGACGCGAGGTTGGAAGGTGGTTCCGTGCCGTACGGGGTCTTTTGGTCTTTTTGATTGTGTACTGGATAAACGTAAGTGGCCAATGGCACAAGTGCTTTGGTCTCAGCCTCCAGGATGGCAAGCTTGTACCCGTTGAGATTACCATCAAGTTGCTGAAACAGGCGTGTGCTAGTCTTCAGTGTGATGACGTTCAGAGAGCTTGCATATCGATGAGACGGGTGAAACCGCAGAGGAATACTTTGTGCCCAGTAAAGAGCAGCAAATCCACATTCTTGATGTAAGGCTGCCAAAAGGGAGTATATAATTAGCCACCTGCTGTTTGCCGTGAGGTTGGACACAATTCAGGATGACAGCCAGCAGATTGAAAACGAAACCGTGTTCTTTCCGATTAAGGCTATGATGAAACATGGATGGGAAGGTGGTCGGTGCGCCAAACAAGCAACTGGCAAACAGCCATCAGTCGCTTTTTGCCTTTTGGCACGAAGTCCGAGCGTATTTTTGGACACATCATGATGCCCGCTCATCACGAACCCTCGTTACCCGGCAGGTACTTGGTTGATGGCTTTCCCAGGAGTTTTGACAATCTTCGGGGTGCTCTCCCCAGGATGGAAAAGCATCAGGCATGGCTAGTTGAAGAATTGGATTCAGAGCTTTCAATCTGTGACGGCCACTGACAACCCAAGCAGCTGCAGTCGGGACTAGGGCGAGGGCTGCTTCGTTTACAACTAAGGCTGGGAGGAGGTCATTGGCAACACAGCTGGAGACCTGAGTTAGTGAGAGGTGGTGCGTTCGTAGGCTGTGACGGTACACATCCTTGTCGGGTAGTGACAGGCTGTACATCGGCTGCACTGTATCATAATATTTCTTAAAAGATCTTAAACGTATATGAATGAACAACTGTTGCTGCGACACCCAGGTCAGAGTCAAGTTCGTTCTCTTTTTTGACTTGTCGGAAGAGACAATGCAGGTACCGGGTGGTGTTTGCCAGAGGTGTCAGTGTGAGTCGTTCGTCAAATACCCAAGTCGTATCAGTTTGAGCAGAGCTTGTGAAGCAGGTGATGCTGCGCAGAATATGTACTGTAACAAGCAAGATCACAAAGCTTGATCGACAACCCGTGCCGTACTGCGTGAAGCTCTTCGTAATCATCTTTAGCTGTAAAGGAGCATAGTACACTGGGGTATTCTTGAAATTCTTGCAGCCCATCAGCTTTTATGCCTCGGTTTGTTCATGGATTTCCACAGATGCAATGGATGTATGCGTTTCACATCCGACATCCAGGAGGTCTCGTTCATTTTGGACTCCGAATTCCCAGGCTCGTCTGATGGAGCGAGGCAAAACTAGCGGTCGAGCTGATGACAATCTGGAGCGTGGGCCCAATGGTGTACACCTCGACCTCGAAGGTTGGAGTGTTGTACAACGAGGCACTTTGCAAGCGGGTCCAGTCCAAAGTCTGAGCCAACCATTGTTCATGTGGTTTGAGAACTGCATGTCGAACATTGTCAAACTGGCCGCTGTGGACCAGCCTGCCATCATAAAGGTCCATAAAGAAGCGCTTTGTGACATTCCAGCAAGAGTGTGGAGCTCTGCACAAAGATACAAGACGAATCTTCAAACAGTTTGAGATTGGGTCGACTTTTACGTTTTTTTTCTTATGTCGTTGGCAAATGGCAGATTCAAATCCGACTCAATCACGATCAGCTTGTTGACTCTTGCCTGTGATGCATCGTTTTTGGGCCGTTTCCAGTTTCTAAGGTCCATGCCAGTGGTAGAAAAGTTCCATTTGAAGGCTCCGACTCAGCAGTTTAAGCAAAGAATCAGACATATCAACTGTATGAGAAAGGTGGGACCTCTGAAGGGGTTACCGTAGATGGTTAGACATAAATTGCAGTTATGCAAGCTTCTCGTTACTAGTAACTTCTTCTTACTAGTAGTAATGCCCTTAGCTACTCGTGGCTTCTTGTTACTAGCAGTGATGCACTTGGTTTTTCGTAGCTTCTTTGCTTTTTTCATGTCGTGGTGAAGTCCAAGGGCCTGGTGCGGCGGATCAATGCAGAGCAGTCTGCAGAGCAGGCGGTTTCGCAGTTCGCTTTGCCCGCTTTGCCCCGTGCTTGTCGCGGTTCAGCCGTACTGAAGAGTGAGAACCGTGTCAATGTCCTTTGTAGAACCATCTAAGAGCCCCCCGTGCGGAGGTGCAGCAGGGGACATGTTCGGAGGTTGTGGGACTTTCCGAACATTTCGACCCGGCAACAGGTGTGGAGAGATGTTCAAAGGCCTTTGTGGGCTGATGGGCGGCAGAGCGTACAGTTCTAGGAAACAACAAGCACTTGCACACAGATCCAAGAACTTGAATCTGATTCTGTGCTGACACATACTATATCATACTATCCTCCTTGCATCTTGCTGGCCCCTGCCAGGAATTTTGGCCCTAGTGTGATCTTCGTGCTGGGTGGTCCTGGTGCTGGAAAGGGCACACAGTCGGGGCCAGCAGTGGACACTGGAGATTGAAAGCGACATGTTGGCGTCAAACCTGGCTGAAGAATTGATGGGTTGTACACGAACGACACGGACGGAAGGGGACCAATGGTAGGGAAACAAGGGTTCAACCAGTGGTTCGCCCCTTGTTTATTTCGGTCGAACGAAGGAGACCTGGTGTCTCACAGCCTCAGGTGCACCAGGATCGCTGCAAACTTCGGCTTTCAGCACCTTTCAGCAGGGGACCTACTCCGAGAGGCCGGCGTCTGTCAGTCGGGTCGTGGTGTCCATTGACCACAGTCCGTTGACCAAAGATTCATGTTGCTGCATGTTGTTGCACTCTCTTGGACTCAAGGGACGAGCATAGCTATGATTTGAGAATTGAATTTGTGAATGGATCAGCCCTTGATGTTTTCATGGTTTTTCTGTACAGGAGCGCAAGAGGCCTGGCTCGGAGCTGGGTGAACTCATCGAGAGCCACATCAAGGAGAGGAAGGGAACACATCAAATGGACTACAGAAGTGACAGTGAATACTTTGCATAGTCTATGATTCGACCGCTGAAATCTGTCCATTCAATCGCAGCGGACTCAGGCCCAAAAAAGGTACTGTAAGACTTGGGCAGGCTGCAAGGCAACACCACTTTTTGAACGACCTGGACGTCACCCTTTTGATGGTTTTCGCCCAGGTTTCCTCAAATGAGAGTGATTGAGTGTTATCTCTAAATGCTTGAATGTCTGCTTCAATTCATTTGCTTTCTTCTACACATTGCCCCACAGAGCCAATCAGGGTCAAGACATTATAGAAGAGTGCCTATTCTTGCCTCATAGGTTGGAGGCCATCGCTCTTAGGCTGGAGGCCATCGCTAGTAGGTTGGAGGCCATTGCTTCTAGGCTGGAGGCTATTTGCTACAAGAAAAAGAAGAAAGGTCCATTGTAGTTTGCTCTTAGGTTGGTCATCATCCGTCTCAGGAGGGGAAATTGGTGCCTGTCTCCATTGTGCGGGTCCAAAAAATTGCACGTAGCTTTTGACAAAGCAGCCTCGCCCTGCATCCAAGGAATGGAAACCAACTTTTCCTGAGAACTGTCTTGGTGTGTTGGCGCACTTGCTCTTGTGAAATTCGTTCTTCTACATTTGTCAATTTCATTTAATTTCAATGCTCCCAGTTCGTTCAAAGGTGGTACAACTCCTCCAGAAAGCCATGGAAGAACGTGGCTGGGAGGATGGCAAGTACCTGATCGATGGCTTTCCCAGGAGCCGCTTCTCCTATATTTGCCCACAGTTTTGTCAAGAACACACCCTCCCAAGCTTTGCTTTTGCAAGTCTTTTCCTTCTTCTTCATCAACATGCACTCTTATTCAGTGCCACAGCGGGACAGGAGCTTCGACAATTTGCAAGGATGGAATGAGGCCCTGGGGCACAAGGCAGGAATGAGATTGTAAGGAAACATTGCTAGGATGCTCACCTAGTTGTTATTCTCAAGCTTTTAAGTTCTGCGCCCTTGTCATGGCAGGTTGACGTCAAGTGCTGCCTCTTCTTTGACTGCTCTGAAGCTGTGATGGAGGCTGGTCTCGCTTAAGGCTTAAGGGTGAGGCCTGATGCATGAGGATGCGCAATTGTTGCAGAAAGATATTAAACATGTAAAACATGTGTGTATATATATATATGTAATATGTATGTGTAAATACACTTGTGTGACCTAAGTGGCGACAGCCTTAGACCCAGATTCATGAAGGTGCTTTCCTGTTTTCACTGCCTCTATGTGCTGCAACAGCAAAGCATTCTCTTTTTGAAGGCTCGCCTTCTGGAACGCGGCAAAACCAGCGGCCGAGCAGATGATAATCTGGTACGCAGCACTGGGGAATGGGAGCTGGTGGGAGCGGCGAGTTCAACATTTCAATTCCATGACTCTATCTAGTCTACTTTTTTGGTTCCCTGAACAATGTGGTCCTCTCATGAAGGCGCATGGCATGAGCCTGGGATGCATCCTCTTTTGGCTTTGTGGGTGCTTTTTGGAAAGGCACTGCAGGCTCAATATGACATGTGTCTCCACATTGTATATACATACAGTGTACATATATATATATATACATGCACACTCTAGCCATTCGTGCCGGATTTGCGTTTCATGAAAGGAGTCCATTAGAAAACGCTTCGCAACGTACACACAGGAGTCGGGGTCCCAAGAAGGCAATTTTTTGTGGTGTCATCCAAGCACTTCTTAGGTTTGAATTTTGAATGACTTTAATTGCTAGGGTACAGCCTTGAGTTGAAAAAGACAGTGGGTAGCCACATTGGAAGCAGTAGGCAGCCACAGTATCATGCTGTGTAGTATGCCTTTTCTGGGCTGCTTTAATGCTGAATCCAATAACACGACTGCATTGGCATGCAATTCGTAAGCGCATTCAGACAAGACACCGCTGTGGGCCTGTTTGAACCAGCGATGTTCAATCTTGGCAAATTGGTTTTCCCGTCATTTCTCAGAAACAATCATAGAAGGCTTTGGGAGGAATAACAAGGTTAACAGCAGATCTGACTTCTTGCTGCGAAGTGAAGATCCGGCCCTGCAGAGTGTTCTCAGCAGCCAATGCTGTGATGGGCAGAGCATGTCACTCATTGGGACAAAAATTTGTTGTTCTGCAACACCTAAGGTCTCTACCAGTCGTGGAGAAGTTCAGCAGTGAAGGTCTCATGCGAAGGAGCAGAGTGTTTGAGTCTGGCGCGGAACAGTCAAGGCTCAAAGGCTTTGAAAGGTTGCTTCACGTACTGGGACCCTTGGATACAAATTGCGTGTGTGCTTAGGGATGTGTAGGAGTATACACTCTCCAGATATCAGATCCACTTTGCGTTGAAGCGATCCATGCATCCCTTTCGAGGATTAGCGCGGAGCAAAACCTCGATGACGTTTGGAGTTGTGTGCAAGAGGCAAAGCCGGCAAAGCAGCCTTCATACATGCTGACAATGGAATAATTATCCATGATTCATCGTATGAATGAATTGCATTGGTTCCATTGCAGGTGATGCACAATGAGCGAGACGGGCTTTTGTTGAACCAGGTGTGCTGGTGTCCTTGTGCCGAAGTGACCATTCCTCCTGTTGTGTGTTCATTCTCATCGGCAAGAAGGGTGCTTGAGTGTCCGGTTGCTCCATTGTTTCCATCAATACAAAAGTGTTGGAAGGAGACCATGGACTCAAAGACTTTGGACGACATAAGAGCAGTGGTAAATTCCCTCAGCGTATGTAGAGTCGTTCTTTTTTGTAAGCGGCCACCCTTCAAGGCTCTCGGTAGGCTGCCACATTTCTTGGGTAGAAAATAGCAGATGCCTCGCAAGATCCGAACAGGTAGCAGATGGTAGCTTCTCAGTTCGGGTCGGGTACGCCCAACAACTCCAATGGCCACCAATCCTTTCGAGATGCCCTTGAGTAGGGATATCAAGAACAACCTCATAGACATGGAGTCTAAATGTTTCCTGAAGAATCAAGTGCCAAACATCGACACTGAGCTTGGCCAAGAACCACTTCACGGTTTTCACAAATGCGGAGAGTCGGAAGGCGGTGGTTTTGATCAAGCCCTCATCCTACAACAAGGCTGATGCTCTGGCAGCGACGGTCCGCCAGCGAGCAGGTATTCTCGGGTAGACTAGTAGAAGTGATCTCGGAGCAAATTGCATTATTTGAAGGATGTTCCTGCCTTTGTTGTTGTTGGGACAGCCAGCAAGGCTCTAGGAAGTTCAAGGATCTTTGAGGGGTAATGAACTCGTCCCAGAGCTTCAGAGCCGGCCTTTCAGCCTGCACGCATACAACCAGCTTTGGGATGCTCAGGGTGCTGACAGTTTTTCTTTCCAGGGCCGCTTCAAAGCTTCAAGTAGAGCTACACTCGCAACCTGAGGCATCGTCCCTTGTTTAATGACTTTGATGCGTAGGACTTTGGAAGCAACAACGCTTGCAATTGCACAACTATGCGTGCATTTGGACCCAAAATCATTTAGCAATGCAAGCACTACACAATATATTGATAAACCACCGTGTAGGATTGTGCAGGATTGCTGCTCTCAACCCATGATGCTTGTGTTTGTTGGTGGCAGATCTGCATAATATAAACTCGGCAATAAGTACAGCTGAGACCTTCTGACGGATGCGACCTCATAGACAGAACTTGTGCAGCTTTCTTTACTGATACCTTCCACGGTACCGATCAATGCTGCATCACTGGGGCAGACGAGCTGAGCGCTAAAGGCAGACCTTTGACAGGAGACCCAGCGCTTTGTGCAGTCCTTCTTCACTACCCACAAGGCCAGCAATCCTCCAGCTGTCACACATGGCGAACACATGGCAAACCGTGGGTGTGAGCAAAAGCAGCAAAAGTGTGAGTTTCGTGGGATGAAGTTTGCTTTGACAGAGGCAGGAACATGGGAACATGGGCAGGCATACATTTGGACACGAACTCCACTCCAACGCACTAGTCAACGGCTGCTTTGCTCTATGCATGCAGTCAGCACAGCATGTTCTGCCATTCTATCACCGTATGCATACCTGCAGACACACACACACACACACACCTGAAGGTGTATCAGGCATGGACGGGTATGCACACAGTTGCTGCTGAATTGGGCTCAAAGAGATCTTGCACTGGAAAGCTCCACTGGATTTGCAAACAAGAGATCTGCAGTTTGGAACAAGGAACTCTTGGACTTGAGCAAGGAAGCGCATGGACCTGCCATTGTGGATGCTGTTGTTCAAGAATAGTGCCACACAAGGGAGTTCGAGGCCCGTTTGAGAGTTCGCACACCATTCATGAAAGGTCTTCCTTCCGGGAAAAGTCTTTGCCTTTCGCAATGATCGAGATGGTCAGAGTGGAGTGGCAGCCATGCGCGTGATGCGTGCGATGCACGCTCCGGTGACAGCATCTTCGTCGTGCCTTTCGCAAGGCGGACTTCCAAGACTCTATTAGGTTGGAGGCCATCGCTTGTAGGTTGAGAGGCCATTGCTATTGAGTTGGCTGCAAAAGGTTCTTGAAAAGGCCGCTGAAGTTGGCTGAAGCTGGCTGAAGCTCCAAGCGTGAAAAGGACCGCTCAAAAAACCGCTCCATTTGTGGAATGGCAGTGTATCACCGAAAGCTTTGTGGGAATCGATGTGTACGAAAGCATTCTTTTTTCATGGTCTCCAAACAAGATCAAGCGGGGCTGATCAGGCGAGTTGGCTTCCAACAAATTTTAGCCTCGAAGATGTGATCTGAAGGACTTCCTTCCGACTTTTAGGCCCCTAACTCTTTTGCTTTTTCGAAGATGTATCACTGGCCTTATGCTCAGATGCACTGCGCCCGGCTGTGCCTGGTCGTTTGCGAGCCTTGCTCTTCTGGGCCTTCCCAAGGCTCGCAAAAGAACTTTCGTCAAACTGAAACTGGAAGAAGTGAGCACAAACACAGCAACAACAGCAACAGCGGCAGCAACAGCAACAACAACAACAACAACAACAACATCAACAGGAACCTGTTTTCAATATGCTGCTTTTAGGGTTTCTGACAGGGTCAGACTCATTGGATTGTTCTACTCTCTCCATTTTAGCCTTTCCCGAAGTTCTTCGAGGCCATCCTGGGCCGACCGCCTCAGCCTTCATGCTGCAGCTGCCCTCGTGGCATCTGCGGGGGCCACCTGGCGTCGTCAGGTGGGACAGCGGCGGCTCTATCGTGGCGAGGCGAAGCGTGAAGGGTGACATTGCGGAAAGCATGGTCAATGGTCAATGGTCCGACATGGTACAGCGGTACTGTTCTGGTGGAAAGCACCGCAAGAAGGGTTCTACTGCACATTGATGTTTCTTGTGCAGCGTACAGTACACATTCAGAAAGTCAGGGTGCACTCGTGCAAGCATTCGTGTTTTTTTTTCATTCTTACTTGCCAGTCCGTGGTGTCTCCCACATGGCTTCAACCACCTGCTGACCTTTTGGAAGAGTCCACCTACGGCGACCCCTTGGCTGTGAAGTATTTTGAATGGCTGGGTCAAGAGCTGCAGAAGAGGCCAAAGATGAACTTGAGGGGAGAGTCGATGGAGTCTTTTTTTGCAGAATGTTTGTCGATTGTCAGCCATGTTTCAACTGGTATATTCAGATGTCTGGAACAAACAACCAACCAACCAACCAAGCAACCAAGCAAGCAACCAAGCAACCAACATGTGATGTCAAACCTGAGAATGGCTGGTGACCAACCCTTCAGGCCTGATGGGCCGCGCGTGCAACGTGGGCATTTGGGTGGTGACCGTGAACAGGCGTCTGTTTGGGGCGATGCCTGCGCGGTGTGGTTGGGTGCCCTACGATTCATGAAGCCTGCGGGCAAGCACAGAACTGTCCTATAGAATGGAGTATCACATCCCCACTACAACAGTTACTAATAGTAAGGCACTTGTTACTACTAGCGATGCACTTGTTCCTAGTAGCGTGGCACTTGTTACTACTAGTAAGGCACTTGTTACTAGTAGCGATGGAGTATCACATCCCCACTACAACAATGTTGTCAAGAGTCAACTGTGTGTGTGTAACCTTGTGCTGCTCCAATTCATCCAGCAGCTGAATCTGCTTGGCCTGGCTTCTGCCCTTTTTGTTGTAAGGATCAGGTGCAATTGGGGCGTGCACACACACACAGAAGAGTTTTTATTTTTACAAATTGGGTCCAGAGTTCTATTTTCCAGGCTGGCTGGAAGATACTGGAAGGTCATGTGCTGCCCCAAGGCCTTTGGGTGATGTTCGATATGCCTGGCCGCTGGATGCACAATGCTTTTGGGAGGGCACCAAAGGAGCGCAGGAAGTTCAGGTCAATGAGGCAGGGTTTTGCAAGAAAACCATGCTTCGTCCATCACTGACTTTGATGCATAGGATAGCCGGATGTAGCTGCCGTCAGTTGTGCTGCAATCACTGTAGCTATTGCCGCGAGGGCCTGCAAGATGCTTTGGGGCTCCATCGAGAGGTGCAGAATGAGACATTGTGCAAAAGCTGATATGGCTTTGGGTCAAAACAGAAACACCTCGGTTGACCACCAGGAATGAACAGAATAGACTACCTGGAAGTCAACCTACCCTGGTTTGGGGCTCGGGGTTTTGACCCGCAGCCATATAAATATATACAACAAATATAATACAGCGCCTCCTATTTTTCTGTGCAAAGACCAGGTTGTTAGAGGCAAGCAGGCTGTTGGTAACAATGCTACTCAAACATGGATAAGAAGAGCAGTTCTGAGTCAATGACAACCTCGACATCTAATGGACCTTGACATGACGAGCTTCGAAATAAAGAGTCGAACACGAAGCAACACTAGCATCGAGTGCCAGCAGGGCAATCGACAGTTTGTTCAACAGGAGTTTTGTCGCTGTCAAGGCAAAAAGCGCTGGTGCATTTTCTGTGATAGACATATATATATATATATATGTGGCAGGGACCTTTTGGTAACATTTCGTTGCGGATGAAAAGCACCGGCACATTTCTCACTAGCGCGCACAGGTCTCATTTGCCCATGCCACCACGCACAGGGGAAGGAGAAACCGGACGTCGCGGGTCCTTAGATCGGTTTCTCATTGTTTTTCATTGTTCAATTATTGCACATGTATATTGGGAAGCATGCGTTGCAACTAATGAATCAGCCAAAGCGTCGTCCACTGATCTCTGGCCTGTGTGAAAATTCTCCCAGTAGAACACTCCTGGCTTTGTGCCTTGGATACAAGCGCTGATGGCTGATGGTTCCCGAAGCCTAGAACGGTTGGCATGACGTTCAAAAGCTTGTTACGCTTTTCAAAAGAGTACGGCCGCTTTTGCGTTCAAGCCAGGCTGCGGCTTTCGATCTTGCGCCAGCTCAAGTTGTACGCCTTTTCCTCACAAAGGTACCGATTGAAAAATCTTTTCGATAACCATCAACCGGATTGATTCCCGCGCAGATATGAACATAGTGTTTGGTGAATTCAATTCATGAGTGGCTTCGTGCCAAAACAAATGAGGCTCCCAAAAGCCACGTGATCATACGGTTGAAAGAGTTAAAAGAATGTCTCCGTCATTTTCGCATGCCAATCATCCTTGCGTCTTTGCAAAGCGTCGAACCATCCTTTGGAAGGGACAGAGGCCTCCACCATTTCCTCAGCGTGCAACTCTGAAACGCCCAGGGCGCATTGATTGAATTGTTTGTCCATGTCGGGCCGCCAGAAATATGTTGATTTGAGCGTTAAACAAAAGTTCCTGCAACTCCGTAACTTGCCCGCAATTCTGCCAAATCTGAGACCCTGGCGTGCCATCTGGGCTTGAAGCCCCTGCCAGGTGGTGCGGATGTAAATGGTCTACGCAGGTAAACTGTAAAGAAAGAGCCACTCTTGCAAAGCAATACATGTTCTTTTTGGTGGCTAGAATCAGACTCTGCTCCACATGGATTGTGAAACTAACAAGCGCAAAACACAAGCCAGAGCACAAACCTATGTACGTTTTTGTTGAAGCATCAGCTTTCGTAAGCTCAACAAATCATATGTTTCTATGTTCGCTCGGCACCATAGTTCTAGTTTCTCTTTGGAGCGGCGTCCTACACCACCGGAGTATGGATTTCGTTGCCCGACTCACCTTTCTGCACCCGGAATACAATCCGACGGGTCACGAAAGCATTGTCTCCCCAACGACGCACTGGCCTTGCCACCGTGGACACCATATACATCGACGGGTCCCGTAGCTCCTGGATGGGGCAACCACATACCATGACTTACAAAAAAGAATAAGCATGAATAGCACGTATATTGTTGATGCTTTGACAGTTTGCATGGCTTTTGAAGAGTTTGTTTGCTTTTGTTGTGTTTACTCTTCTTCACACTCCGCAGACCTTCGCAGGACAATGATACTTGGCTAAGATCCTTTATCTAAGCTTACTGTTCTGCTTCGACTCTTCACCTCCACCTCGCCAGATCCCCGATTCGACGAAGCGGGTGTCCTTGGACTTCTCAAGGGCAAACTCCAAGAGCTTTGCCGCATGCTGTGGCGGAAGGCCTGGGACATCGCAAACATCCGATGGTTAAAAACACAAAACAAACAATGCACTTCCAAGTCTGTCAAAAGAAGTCCTTCATCAAAAGGATTCTGATCAAAACCTTTCAACCAGCTCTGCTGCATTCTCATGACTCAAAGCAAAAACACAAGCTTTCAACTGTGGGGAACTTGAAATCTCCGGCCAGTAAAAGATATAGAGCACCAGCTGTAAGAATTTAATTTGATTGTCATGGAGGAGTCGAATTAA